GGGTATAATTTTATTTTCCATTTTTAAAGTATCCATTAATTTTTATGCATCCCTTTAATTCATCTAAATCTACCCAAACCAAACTAATACCAGCATATAGGGTATACTATCCTTCCTAAATCCACCCTGCGGCTGGATTTAGGTAACACCACTCTTTATAATACCGGTATCAAGCATAATACCAGTATTTACACTTCTAAAGAACGCATATGTTAAATGATCTACCCTTAATACCACCAAGCAGGATTTGTAAAGAGTGGTATTTAGCTCTCTAGAACCAGGCTACTCTTAGGTTATTGTAAACATACCGTACACTTGTATTCTTAGTTTGTTTATATCTTGAAAACACTATTATCAGTTTAAATATTTTATCTTAGTTTTAAACGATTAGACAGATTAACCCCTAGCTGACATGATAACATATTATAAACATTGCAAGGAAGTGTAGATGCAGCTTAACATGTGATAAAACCTTACAATATCCTTGAGGGGTAGCATTCATAGGTAACAAGAGCCAGTTCAGTCTTATAATTCTTCCATACAAATATATATTTAGTTTCCATACATAACATACAAACATATAGCCTCCATATAAACATCTCGTTTCCATACAAACATCTAGTTTCCATACAAATATATAGTTTCTAAGCAAATATATAGTTTCCATACAAACAAATAGTTTCCATACAAAAATAGTTTCCAAACAAACATAGTTTCCATACAAACATATAGTTTCCATACAAACATAGTTTACATACAAACATATAGTTTCCATACAAACATATAGTTTCCATATAAACATCTAGTTTCCATACAAACACCTAGTTTCCATACAAACATATAGTTTCCATACAAACATCTAGTTTCCATTCACACATCTAGTTTCCATACAAACATATTGTTTCCACACAAACGTATAGTTTCCATACAGTTTTATAGTTTCCATACAAACATAGCTTCCATACAAACACAGTTTCCATACACACATATAGTTTCCATACAGTTATATAGTTTCCATACACTCATATAGTTTCCATTCAAACATATAATTTCCTTTCAAACATATGTTTCCATACAAACATCTAGTTTCCATACAAAAATCTAGTTTTCATACAAACACCTAGTTTTCATACAATAATATACTTTCCATACAAACATACAGTTTCCATACGAACATCTAGTTTTAAAACAAACATCTAGTTTCCATATAAACATAGTTTCCATACAAACATATAGTTTCCATACAAATATATAGTTTCCATACAGTTATATAGTTTCTATACACTTATATAGTTTCCATACAAACATATAGTTTCCGTTCAAACATATGTTTCCATACTAACACCTAGTTTTCATACAAACATGAAGTTTACATACAAACATATAGTTTCAATACAAACATATACTTTTCATAGAAATATACAGTTTCCATAGAAACATCTAGTTTTAAAACAAATATCTAGTTTCCATATAAACATAGTTTCCATACAAACGTATAGTTTCCATACAAATATATGGTTTCTATACAAACAAAGTTTCCATACAAACATATAGTTTTCCAAACAGACATAGTTTCCATATAAACATCTAGTTTCCATACAAACATCTAGTTTCCATACAAATGTCTAGTTTCCATACAAACATCTAGTTTCCATACAAACATCTAGTTTCCATACAAACATCTAGTTTCCATACAAACATATAGTTTCTATACAAACATATAGTTTCCATACAAACATATAGTTTCCATACTACATAATTTCCATACAAACATCTAGATTCCATAAAAACGTGTAGCTTTCACACAAACATCTAGTTTCCATACAAAACATAAAGTTTCCATACATACATATGTTTCCATATAAACATAGTTTCCATATAAACAAAGTTTCCATACAAACATATAGTATCCATACAAACATAGTTTCCATAAAAACATATAGTTTCCATACAAACATATGTTTTCCATAAAAAAATATAGTTTTAATACAAATATATACTTTCCATGCAAACATATAGTTTCCAAACAGACATAGTTTCCATACAAACATATAGCTTCCATACAAACATATAGCTTCCACATAAACATCTAGTTTCCATACAAACATCTAGTTTCCATACAAACATGTAGTTTTTATATAAACATATAGTTTTCATACAAACATATAGTTTCCATACAAACATATAGTTTCCATACAAACATCTAGTTTCCATACAAACATAGTTTCCATACAAACATATAGTTTCCATAAAAAAATATAGTTTCCATACAAACTTAAAGTTTCCATACAAACATATGATTTCTATAATAGGCTAAAAAGTTCTAACATTTTTTAGAAATCAATTTTTTTATACAAATATCAATTAATTTTTAAAAATCTAAATTTTTTTTCACTGTTTTAAAAATTTAAGGGGCAGTGCCGGGCACTGGTAGTAGTAATTTTATTCCCAAAAATATAATTTTTATGTAAACAAAATGAAAAAAAGTTGAATATTTCAGAAAGAAATGAATGCTATAAAAAGTCCTAGTGCTGGTGTGAGGAAAATATTTGTAACAACTTTAGGTAAAAAATAGTTTTTATTGAAGTTCACTTATATTCATAATTAGTTGAAACTTTAATCGCATATTTTAAAAGTATCGATTCCAAAAAATACAATTTCTTGATTTAATAAAAATCTCCAAGGTAAATGAGAAATTCTTCGAAATAATTGACACGATTGTTAACAAAGGTATGATCATTAATGATCGTTAATGGTCAAGAACGATTAGTCAAAAATTAAAAGGAAAACGAAACACGACGTATTAAGCACGAATCATGATCGTTTTGTTTTGTGTTTTTCCTACATCGTTTACAAAACGATCAGTGGCCGAATTTAAAGAATTTGAGCGGCGGTTTAAATTTAAACCGCGGGTTAAATATGGTTGGTTCCACTTAAAATTGTATCAAATGTTTCAAGATTTAAGCCGGCGCTTAATTTAAACCGGGTTTTGCACAGATTTAAACCGCGGCTCAAATTCTTTAAATTCCATCTCAGTTCGTTTAAAGAAAAGTGAAAACGTAATTTAAATTGTCTTGACTTTTTTACTTATTTTAATTTCCGGTATTCTAAATTAAAAAGTTTTAGAATGGAAATAAAAAATCTTTAATTCATTTCAACCAAACAAACCAACACTGAAAAATTGACAAAACACTTCACACAAATTGGATTTTCCGGTCGGGGGCGTATTCAGGAACATATACAGTGGGGTGATAGGGTTGATTTTTTATTTATTTTTACCTAACACCAATATGCAAATATTCTTCAACATATTCTGTCTGTCAGCTGTCAATATCCAAAAACGTCAAAACGGCTGAACTGATCAGGCCCAAATTTGTTATGGCAACGTGCATGGTCCCAGGAAAGGTTTATGGATCGTCAAGCTTGGAAATTTTGTCCTGGAAAAAAATGTTGACCTTTATTAGTTTTGATAACGCGATTCTAATTTTTAACGGAAAAATCCGAAATTTTTTTTTTAATTTTAGATCATTTTAAAATAATTATTAAATCTTAGTTCTTTTAACCAAAATACTTTTTCACGTTTACTTACTTATGCAATTTGAAAGCATTTTTTAAATTATACAAAAAATAAAGCTATTAATTTTTGTTTAGGAAAAGGAGTTAGTTTTGCCAAACAAAGAGCTAAATATGTCGCAGGTGAGAAATATTAGAAACTAGGAATTTAGGGTGCTTCGCGCCCATCTTCTATTTAAATTGTGAACATGTTCTTTTTGTTTACATTTTAAAACAAAGAAGAAAAAAATTTTGCGGATTTAAAAAAATTCGCGGATTTTCAAGAATATAATATTCTTTACAAAATTAAAAAACCTTTAAAATGCATGTTTTTTTTAAATTTTTATCATTCATAAACCTTCTCTGTGGTCACGTGATGTCCCACAAAAAATTTGGGCCCGATTGGTTAAGCCGTTTTGACGTTTATTGGATACAAACAAACAGACAAGCTAAATTTCTATATAGATAGGAATTTTTGAATTCCGAGTTTAGAGGGTCTGTACACTAATTTCAATTTTCATTTACATAGTGATCTGTCCGATTTACAATGTTACCCTTGAAATATTTTTCTAGCTAATAATTGTTTATATATTCTATTATAAATACAGTGAGAACAAGTAAACTATGGAATAGGAAGACGACATTGAAAAAAATAATTGAATGTATTTGATGATGTTACTATGCAAACTTAGTAACTTATGATATAATATTAAGTCTGTTTATACTGTACAATTAATGTCCTTCATCCACGTTTGTTGGACTATTCAATTTTAAGTCTCTTGGCACACAATCTTTAACTATAAGAATTGCTCGGGCAAGGGTTTAGAGGGAATTTAAGCGTAATTTTAAGTGACCCTACATGCAAAGATGGCATGTCCGGTTTGACCAGTTTGTCTGATCAAATATGAATTAGATCTCAATGTTTGCAGTTTTTTAAAACTGTTCATTTTGTGGTTTCTCTGCAAAAGTGACTTCTGCCTTGCGTATAAGAAAGACTGGAGGAATTATCGGAATTAAACGCTTGTCGAGTCAGAAAAACGACGTCATCTTCCACATTGTTGATCAGATTAAGCTGTATCAAGGTTAATGTTGTAAAACGGGCATTGTCATCTTAGTATGGATATTAAAATTACAATCCCTGAAATGATATCAAACAGGGAGGACAACAGAAGATTATATCTTCAGTCCTTTCAAAAATATTCTTTACGTTAAATATTTAAAATATTTCAATTTAAATTTGTTGAACTTGCGTCTTCCTTTACAACAACAAAATATGAATTTAATTTTGACTTAATGAAAATTTTTAAAATAAAATTTGAAATATGAGTATTTATTATTATTTGGTAAACAAACACATGTTAAAGTTCCTAGAAAATATTTAATATCTTGATAATAAGTATGTTAAACCGGGGATATATATATAGTTTATTTTCATTCAAATATCTTTATAGGATAATGTTTATAATTATAAGTAACCTTGCATTTGGCATTTAGAAAAACCTATTTATACTATACCCCCCCCCCCCACATGTATAAATTTTAAGATTATTTTTTTTAAATGCTTCATTCAAAAAATGAAAAAAAAAATTTTAAAAAATTATAAACAGCTTTTTTATGCGTTTATTTTTTTGATTTTGAATGATTTTTACTTTTTATATCATGCAATATTTTGCATGCCGTGAAAAAACAATAAAGTATGTATAATATATTATTTAGGATTTCCCAATTTCATAATTCTATTTTTAAACTTAAACTTTAAAATGTAAGATTGAAATAGAATTATCTAGAATATCGTGATGTAAAAAAGAGAAATTTGAAACTTTAAACACAATTGACGAACAGCGTTTTTCTTGCTTTTTGTGCAGTGTACACTGCTTTTCTTACATTTAGTGCAGTGCACACTGCTTTTCTTACATTTAGTGCAGTGTACACTGCTTTTCTTGCATTAAATGCAGTGTACACTGGTTTTCTTACATTTAGTGCAGTGTACACTGCTTTTCTTACATTTGGTGTAGTACACTCCTTTTTACAATTATTGCATTACACTGCTTTTTTACATTTAATGCAGTGTACACAGTGCACTGCTTTTTTCTTATATTCAGTGCAGTACACTGCTTTTTCTTACATTTAGTTTAGTACACGACTTCTTACATTAAGTGTGGTATACACTGTTGTTATTTCATTCAGTGCAGAGTACACTGCTTTTTCTTACATTTAGTGCAGTACACTGCTTTTTCTTACATTTAGTGTAGTGAACGACTTCTTACATTAAGTGTAGAATACACTGGTTTTTTACATTTAGTGCAGTGTACACTGCTTTTCTTACATTTAGTGCAGTGCTCACTGCTTTTTTACATTTATATCAGTGTACACTGCTTTTTTATATTTAGTGCAGTATACACTGCTTTTCATATATTTAGTGCAGCGTACATTGCTTTTCTTACATTTAATACAGTGTACACTGTTTTTCTTACATTTGGTGCAGTTCACTCCTTTTTAAAATTATTGCATTACACTGCTTTTTTTACATTTAATGCTGTGTACACAGTACACTGCTTTTTCTTACATTCAGTGCAGTACACTGCTTTTTCTTACATTTAGTTTAGTACACGACCTCTTACTTTAAGTGTAGTATACACTATTGTTATTATATTTAGTGCAGCGTACATTGCTTTTTCTCACATTTAGTGCAGTACACTGCTTTTTCTTACATTTAGTGCAGTGTTCACTTCTTCTTCTTATATGTAGTGCAGTAAACTGCATTTCTTACATTTGGTGCAGTACACTTCTTCCTGCACTTATAGCAATACACTTCTTCTTCTTATATTTAGTGCAGTACACTTCTTCTTCTTATATTTAGTGTAACACACTGCTTCTTCTTATATTTAGTGTAATACACTGCTTCTTCTTATATTTAGTGCAGTACACTGCTTCTTCTTATATTTAGTGTAATACACTGCTTCTTCTTATATTTAGTGTGTAGTACACTGCTTCTTTTTATATTCATTGTAGTACACTGCTTCTTATATTTAGTGTAATACACTGCTTCTTCTTATATTTAGTGTAGTACACTGCTTCTTCTTATATTTAGTGTAATACACTGCTTATTCTTATATTTAGTGTAGTACACTGCTTCTTCTTATGTTTAGTGTAATACACTGCTTCTTCTTATATCTAGTTGTAGTACACTGCTTCTTCTTATATTCAGTGTAGTACACTGCTTCTTATATTTAGTGTAGTACACTGCTTCTTCTTATATTTAGTTGTAGTACACTGCTTCTTCTTATATTCAGTGTAGTACACTGCTTCTTATATAGTGTAGTACACTGCTTCTTCTTATATTTAGTTTTAGTACACTGCTTCTTCTTATATTCAGTGTAGTACACTGCTTCTTCTTATATTTAGTGTAGTACACTGCTTCTTCTTATATTTAGTGTAGTACACTGCTTCTTCTTATATTTAGTTCAGTACACTTCATCGTTTTGCATTTAGTCAGTATATACTTCTTCTTTTTATATTTAGTGCAGTACGTTTCTTGTTCTTATATTTAGTGTAGTACACTTCTTCTTATATTTAGTGCAGTACACTTACTCTTTTTACATTTAGTGCAGTTCACTTAATCTTTTTATATTTAGTGCAGTACACTTAATCTTCTTACATTTAGTGGAGTACACTTAATCTTTTTAAATTTAGTGCAGTACACTTAATCTTCTTACATTTAGTGCAGCACACTTAATCTTCTTACATTTGATGCAGTACACTTAATCTTCTTACATTTAGTGCAGTACACTTAATCTTTTTACATTTAGTGCAGTACAATCAATCTTTTCAAATTTAGTTCAGTACATACACTCCTTCTTACATTTAGTTTAGTACACTTAATCTTTTTACATTTAGTGCAGTACAATTATTCTTACATTTAGTGTAGTACAATTAATCTTATTACATTAAGTACAGTACACTTCTTATTAGATTTAGTGCACTACACTTCTTGGTCTTATGTGTATTGTTACCTAAGTCAAGGAAAAAAGTCGACATGTAATGTATAAGTCGACAAAAAGTCGAAAATCAAAAGTCAAGTTTTGGTCAGCTTCTGTTTTTTATTCATGTGAAAGTGCAGTTCGATGTATGAAGAATTATTTTTTTTCAAGACCTGAATGAGTCAGGGACTGTATATGCGTGATTTCAAGTGACCCTTCATGCAAAAATGACAATGCCCAAGTTATACCCTTTTAACCAATATCTGATAAATAATGTGGAAGAAATTATAATTTTTCTATTTAGTTCTGTATATTCCAATATGTTTTTCTGCAGTAGAAATGCGCAACAGCGGAAGTCACTTTTGTAAATTAGTTTTACCCGCAAATCTGAAAATATAACTTTTCGAAATTATTAACATTTATATCTCTTTCATTATTGAACAGACACAGCTTTCAAGGGTACTATGAATCGGTCATTGCTATTTTTAAATAAAGGGTCACTTAAAATTACGCTTACAGTCCCTTTAACTTATAGTTTAAAGGGACAGACCGGCTATGTAAGGTAGTTGAACTGAGTTTGCAGTGTTGTGGAAAACTTCTTTAGGATTCATTCGAGACATATAAGATTTTTTAAAGATCTGTAAATCCTGAGTTTGAGCGCAAATTCGACATTCAAAACTCCTACTTTGGGGTTGGATACGTTTTCTGAATTAGTGTCTTTTTAATTATTAGCCAGTCACTCCCTTTAAATTGCATAATTAAACCTAAGAATATTGAAATATTGGAAACAGGGACCAGGGGCGTGAAACTAAAGTAAATTGCACGTAATATTAAAATCAAATATGTTTTCAGTGAAAAACAAGGTCTAGGCTAGAGAATTAGAAAAGACATAAAAATCATTTTGTTCTTGCAATATTTTCCGCAACGGTTTTCATGCGCAAAAACATTTTATTCAATTTAAGGAGAGTTTGACTTAATTAAAGTATATTTTTGCATGTTAATTTCATTAAAGTATACTTTTGCATGTTAGTTATCAAATGATTGAAAAATCTGTATTTTTCTTCCTTTATCCATAACAACAGAGACACAGGAATTTTTTTTCCCTACCAACAAGATTTTTTGTTGTGAAATAATGCATCACGATAATATTTAAATTTTTACTGATAGCTTCGCAAGTTGCAGATCAAATGTTGCCGCAAATATTGCGGTTTTTTTAGAACTGGGTTTGTGTACATTTTACCCAATAGCTGAAGGGCGCTATTATTGTAAACAAATAAACAAATATTAGGAGGTTCCTATTCCTAATGAATCTAATTTTTTTTGTGTTTCGCTTTGAATTCCAGTTTCCCGAACACAGAAGTTTCGTCAAAATAACTTTCAGTTAGGAAATTCTTTTTTTTTTAATTAGTTTTTACTAAAATAGCTTAGACTTTATTAGAGGGGTGCTTTTCAAACAGAGGCTTTCTTGCCTCAATGCATTATAAAATCGTTCAAAAGACGATATCAAAATCGTCACTGTATTCCTAAAGTAGTAAACTTCTTATTTACTTTATAGATTCTACACGAGAGCGGGTCATGGATGTGATGTCGTCTTCAATCTAGGTTATTTTATAGATTCTACACGAGAGCGGGCCATGGATGTGATGTCGTCTTCAAAACGGATTCTTTACAATGCCATAGGAATAAAATCATTTTTATCTTTTAGCTAGTTTAATATTTCATTAAAAGAGATTGTCGACGTAATTTCAAGTGACCATTTTTAAAAAAAATGTACACTTACGAAATACAATATAATACCCTTTAAAACTCACGGTGGACTAGGATCAATTTGAATTCGAACCGGACCTACCCCTTGTACCGGCCTTAGTGACGCGCGGCAAGTACCGCCCCGGCTCTATCCTATGTCAGCGTAGTTCCAACTTTGATGGCGCGGCCAGACTTCTTGCAGTACCCGGACTGGCATAGGCCTAGTTTACCAACCCCACTAGCCTAGTTTAGTTTTTCTTTTTTGAAATAAGTTTTCAAGTTTTCCTTCTTATGTCCTTAAATTGTAATGCCCCTAAACGTCCACACTTAAACATTTTTAATATTTTAGAGTTTTTTAATTCTCCGAAACATATATTGACCGTTTGTCTCGCTTGAGCAATGTTTAATTCTGAAAATTTTCTCTATTGTTTCTGGAACCGAAAGGCATTTTTCACTTTGTGGTGAAATCACGATTGAAAACATTATTTTTGGCTCCTTCATTTTTTTGCGTCGACATTTTTAAAAATTTCGTTGTGAATAAGATATCAATTGAAACTATGTCTAATTAGTCCAATTTTTTTACTTTGAGGGTTTCAATTTTTTATGCCGGTTTCTTTTGTAAAAATAATAATTTTTTATTTTGGTTTTAATATCAATCTTTTTCTCATTTTTCTTATTCATGTTTTCTTAAAATTTTAATCAACTGATTATACAAAATTAGATCTGTTTTACACATAATCAAATGGAGCAGAAGTTATTATCAACTATTTTCGTGGATTTACTAATTTTTTATGAAAAGTTTTAGGAATAAATATATCTCATGCTGTATAAAATTGATGATTTTGTACAGCCTCTGTTCTCACTTTTGTTCTCATCATTTCCATCTCTGTATTTATGTACGGTACTTTCTACTATGCGTACATGCCGTTAGAGGTAGGTACAGACAAAAATTGCACTCAAAACAATTCAAATCAGGTGTTTGAAAATCGATTTTATCTTTCATTGTATACGACAAACTGATGAATTACATGTTATCTTGAAATATTACATCCTTTTAAAGTATAGTTCCTAGTTTTAAAGATTTTATTTCTAATATGTAACCAAGTAAAGCTCATACTCCGGATGTAAAATCAAAACAAGAGGAGCTACGAGTTCACAAACTAGAACCAGTAATATAGTGAACAAATTTGACCTTTTCCTTTCGTACTTTTAAGCTTGTTAAATAAAGTATATTTTGTTAAAGTAAATTTTCATTTTCAAAAAATGAAGCAGGATACTTCATATTATGAAATAAGCATCTTCAAACTAAATGTATTTCCGAAACCAGATCCGAAACAAGATTAAAGTATCCCAAACTGTTGTATTCTTTTAAGGATAGTATTTGTTTGTGGAGTAATAGAACAGTATTTATTTGGCTTCTTACACGTTTCCTCTTTTCCATTTAAAAACACTCTTTAAATAATTGGAAAGTGTCACCAAATAAAACACAAAAATGTAAAACTTTGAAGCCAATACAGTGGTCCCCAGGATAAAAATGGAAACTTGAAAGATTTAGAAAAATTCTGTTTTATTTCTTTTAAAAATTGAATAAGAACTTGGGGGGGAAGGGTAATTATTTTTCAAAAATATATATTTCCTACTGAACATACAGTGTACATGAATGCTGTATTGGTACATGAACTATTGTACATCTATAGGTGAATGAACTACTGTACTTGTATAGATACATAAACTACTGTACATGAACATAGAAAACTACTGTACATGTCTAGAAATGTAAAGAACTGCTGTATAGGTACATGAAGACCTATTGTACATGTATAGGTACATAAAGAACTACTGTACATGTATGTCTAGATACATGAAGAACCTGTAAACCTGCAGTTCCTCCCATGTACTGACCAGGTTGGAATCTGCAGCTATCCAAATGCAACGGTCAACCTTCATCCTAAAATTAAGCTTATGACAGGTAGCCCCAAATAATATCAGATTTTTAAAAGGGGCTGTAAATGTAAAATATAAATCGGGAAACTTTACGGTTTCAATTTCATCTTTAGTTACCCGGAATTCCAGTTTACGGAAAGATTTTCTTCGGATCATTCAATTTAAAAAATGTAATTTTTTCCGGAATATCGGAGTTAGCAATATACTGCACTGTATCTAGGCCCCCCTATTGACTATTCTAAATTGCACAACTATTTCATTAATGATGTTGAAGTTTTGAGTAAAAGATATTGTTGTTTTTCGATCTTTCAAAGTGTTGAATTCTGTCAATTTTCTTCTCAGTTTTAGTTGCATAAATCTGGAAATTATTTTTACAGAGAAACTAAAAAAACATATGCTCAGTGCCAAAAAGATTGATATCGCATTCCATATTCATCAAAGAAATGGTTCCTTTTTTACTCAGACTTGCCACTCTTTATATGAAGGGTCATTTGAAATAACGTGTACAGTCCCTTTAACCATGGATAATTTAAATTCAGAGAATATCTTCCAATTCTCTCCAAGATAAACAGAACTCCTGTCAGTTCAGTGAGATAGAGATTTCAATTCGTAATCAAACAAAAAAGTAAACTTTGTTTATTAAATCCATCTACAAAACTCACAAATCTTACCCCCCCCTTTATCAACTGTAAATAATACAAAACTCATCAATCTCTGTCCTCCCCCCCTTTATCAACTGTAAATAATATAAAAACTCGTCAATCTCTACCCCCCCCCTTTATCAACTGTAAATAATATATTTAGCTATTTCTGAATCATAACTAAACATGACGTTAATTTGTCGCTAATCTGGAAACTGGTTTCTCTCAAAATTAAAATTTACAGTACTCAAAAAACGTTTAAAAATCGCTTAACCCTATTCCTGCTAGGGGGGGGGTCAATTTGACCCCCCCCCTGTAGTTTTTTTTTACAAAACTCAAAAAGTATTGGTCTGAGGCTGTTGAAATTTTCTGACTTTTCCTACACACCCAAAGCCCTCCTTTTAGGCCTAAAACCGGACTTTAATACTAACCGCCTGAGTCCTCAGGCACACTGCCTGAATGACTGCTTTTTCCTGTAACAAACTAAATCTTTGTTTTGACCCACTTCCACTTGTCAGATTTTGATAAAATTTAGCTTTTTGGAAAGCCTTTGACATAAGGAAACGAAAATTGCACAAGTTTTGCGAAAAAAAATGCAAATTTTTTTTAAACAACCTGTCGAAGGAAATTTGCATATTTTTAGTTTTTCTTGATTAAAATTTTTGCATATTTGAAATGGCTTGGTCAAGGGCTTTCTAAAAATGTATAATTTTTCATTTTTTGGACAAATTTTTTTTTGCAGACATTTTTACTATATAACTGGATTTTGCGATAAAAAATTCAACTTTTGTAAATTTGCAATTTTTTGCAGATTCTAAAAGTAGAGCACAAGAGCTTTCCAATGGTTTATCATTTGTCATATTTGGACATCAAACATGGGATTTAGAGGGGGGGTCAAATTGACCCCCCCAGCATATCCTGGTTTTCAAGGACCCCAGCAGAGATAGAGTTAATTGATTTTTTCTTTGAAAAATTTACAGCTTTTTGCTTTTTTGACCGGTTAAAATATATTTAAAGTTTTTTTTGACTCGATCACAAAATATTTGAACAATCTCTTTAAGAATGTGAGTGTATGTATAGAGTAATTGTATCAATATTGGTAATCGATATTGCATTAAGAGGATTAAATTAAAACTAAATTAAAACAATCTGTTAAACTTAGAAGTAAAGGGAGGTAGCTTAGGTCCAATTTACAACAGTACCCTTTCAACTTTTATTCTAGTAATAACTAGCTGAAGGGCCCGGAGTTGCCAGTGAAATTTTTTTTATTTGAGATAACAAAATTTGAATTTAGCCTATAGCACCCCCCGGCCACCCATGAGTGTCCAAAAAAATTCCAACCCATTCGGTCCAGCCGTTTGGCCGGCTATAGGCAACATACATATATACGAATGTATTGTTTTATTTATTTTATAGATAGATATGGAAGATATCTTCTTGCTTGACAAGTGATAAATTCTCTGCATTTCCTGTTGTTATATTAGTAATTCACCAAGAAACCACAACTAAAAGTAATCAATTTTCAATTTTAAATGAAAAGATAATGTTGTGAATCAGACATGCTACTCTTTATGTCTATAGTCCCATCAGTGCCATTTAAGTCTTAAAGCAGTCCCATTAATTAGTCCTAAAGCAGTCCCATTTAAGTCTTAAACAGTCCCATTTAATTCTTGAAAACAGTCCCATTAAAGTCTTAAAGCTGTCCCATTAAAGTCTTAAAGCAGTCCCATATCAATATCATATCTTATCAGATCATATAATGATATAATAATAAACGCGCGTATCCCGTAATCCCGGAAGGGAGACTCAATCCGCCAGCATTTAATTTATACTAGAAATAGTTTGTTTGGTAATTCGCTGGCGAAAGGAGTTAATCCGGACTCATGGCTCAAATTTGGTCGTGATACCCGACGTTAGGCCTAAACTATGTCAGGCTGAAAAGCCTTGATCTAGACGGGATCGTGATGGCGTACCCCAGCTAGATCGAGGAGCCCACGGGACTTCCCTAGCTTCTTGAATTGAATTGAATTGAATTGAATAAAGTCTTAACTCAGTCCCATTAAAGTCTTAAAGCAGTCCCATTTAAGTCTTAAAGCAGTCCCATTAAAGTCTTTAAGCAGTCCTGTTAAAGTCTTAAAACAGTCCTGTTAAAGTCTTAAAACAGTCCCATTTAAGTCTTAAACCAGTCCTGTTAAAGTCTTAAAGCAGTCCCATTAAAGTCTTGAAGCAGTCACATTTAAGTCTTAACTCAGTCCCATTAAAGTCTTAATGCAGTCCCATTTAAATCTTAAAGCAGTCCCATTAAAGCCTTAAAACAGTCCCATTTAAGTCTTAAAGCAGTCCCATTAAAGTCTTAAAGCAGTCCCATTAAAGTCTTAAAGCAGTCCCATTAAAGTCTAAAAGCAGTCCCATTAAAGTCTTAAAGCAGTCCCATTAAAGTCTTAAAGCAGTCCTGTTAAAGTCTTAAAACAGTCCCATTTAAGTCTTAAAGCAGTCCCATTTAAGTCTTAAAGCAGTCCTATTAAAGTCTTTAAGCAGTCCCATTAAAGTCTTAAAGCAATCCCAATAAAGTCTTCCTGCAGTCCTGTTAAAGTCTTAAAGCAGTCCCATTTAGATCTTAAATCTGTCCCTTTAAAGTCTTAATGCAATCCGGTTAAAGTCTTAAAGCAGTCCCATTTTAGTCTTAAAGGGAAGAGAATTTTAGCAAAGGTACTAAAATCTTACTTTCTGATCTATACAGTTTTGCAACCTAATGAATAATGATGCAAAACAATTTTGCTAGAGTGGGAAAAAAATGCAATTTTCTGAAACTTCCCAAACATGTTAAATTAAAAATCACTTTTTTTGCTCAGAAGTTCGGTATATTTGCTATTAGAGAGCAACAAAAAAAGTTTTGGACTTATGTGCAAAATTAGTGCATATAAATGATCTTAAAATTTGAGAAATTGGGTGAAAAGTATCAAATGGAATGAAAATACTTGCTTTAAAATATTTTTAAATCATCAAAATCATCCTTAAAATGTTATTGAACTAAATCCTGAGATGAAATTTCTTTTACTCTTTTTCAGGTTTTTATTGTTAGCATTGTCGTAGAATTCTATTCAGGATTGCTTTACATTGCAGAATTCAGTTTGAAAGGAGGGTTTCTCTGAATAAACTTTATTTAAAATAGTTTATACAACTAGGTTTATACTTAATTCATGTTTTAGGATAATTATTTTTTAATCATGAGATTTTGAGAAATTATTTATTTTTCTACACTTAGGTCAACCATACAGTGTTTCAGTACGCCTGGAACTTCCAGACTCGACCTTTAATCAGGTAGGTCTAGGTCTAGGTCAAGATTAAGGTCAATGTCACGTTCAGGTTAGAGATTAAATATTCAAGGTCAATGGCAAGGTAAAGGTTATGATCAGGTTAGTGTCTAGACAAAGGTAAAGGTCAAGTTCATGTTATTGGTCCAGTTTAAAGTCAGGATAAGTTATATTATGTTTAACTACACTGTTTAAGGAGCTGGGAATGTTTATGTCTTGTCTTGAAGTTCTAAAGAATGATAAAAACCTAGAAACAAGCTGTAAATCCTCAATACTAGAGTTCAGATCCCCTCTACTCAGATATCTAGGTAGTATCTAGAGTACATGTAAATCCTCAATACTAGAGTTCAGATCCTCTCTACTCAGATATCTAGGTAGTATCTAGAGTACATGTAAATCCTCAATACTAGAGTTCAGATCCTCTCTACTCAGATATCTAGGTAGTATCTAAATACTAGAGTTCAGATCCTCTCTACTCAGATATCTAGGTAGTATCTAGAGTACATGTAAATCCTCAATACTAGAGTTCAGATCCCCTCTACTCAGATATCTAGGTAGTATATGAAGTAAGACCCATAACACTGTGAAATAATTAGACTTATACTTTTAACCAATATTATGTATATTTAAATGTATTCCTGGTTACACCAAATAATTTTGCCAGTAGTTTGAAAATCAAGGAATATTCATTTTTTCAAACGATTTTTTCGTATTCACACTGAAAGATAGTTCAGTGAAATCGTTCGTTCATTGAAATCTTTTCATCACTATAAATCCTTTGATCAGTAATAAAAACGGCATTTCTTTTAAAGTTTGTAAGCAAAATCGTTCGTTCAGTAAAAAAAACCATCGCGTTTTCTAAAAGTTTGTTTTTAAAAACGTTTGCATGCTAAGTTAAAAATCGTTTTTTCAAAATCCTTTGAAAAAATTAATTGAAAACTATCGACGTTTTTTCAAGTTCCTTTGAGCAAACAATGTAGAAATGATTGATTCAGATCGTTCGTTTAATCGTTTTATCTTCAGATTATCACGAACTATTAGGGTTTCTTTGTTCCAACCTCTCTGTTTCTTCTGTTAGATCCAACGTTTTGCTAATAAAGAAAATTCAGTGAACAGTGAGCTTCATTTAATAAATAAGATTTGAAATTCAAACTTTAGTGAACTGTCTCATACTGCCATCCAGAGTCTGTATGTACACTGAAAAACTTGCTTTAGCTCTGCTTAAAAGTCGATACTGTACTTCAAATGAAGCGGAGTTTTCAATGAGCTATGTGGTTATCTTCATTATAACTTTTAGATTTTCTGCCAGATTCAACAAAATTAAAATTTAACAAAGGGGATTTTGAGTTTTTGTAGCAAACTCTGATTTTTTAATCTTATATCTTTGCAACCCAATGTCGTAGATATTTCAATTTATTTATCAAATAATCTAAGTTAAAAAGGGTTTCACCTTCACGACCAGGTTGGCAAAGCTATAGGAATTAGAAATTATAGATTTTGGCAAAAACTTATAATTCATTAAAAATTTAAAAATTACACTAGAACTGAGTTGCGATTTAATCTTTAGCTGACTTAGCAGTTTTTTTTGTCTGATTCTTTAAAATCTTATTTCATTTAATTTTTTCCCCAGAAACGTTTATGTTTTCCCCGTTTCTGCTGACTGGCACTTCAAGTCAGAAACAATGGGTCACTATCAACTTTTTCAGGTAAATAAACAGGGAACAAATATATGTCAGCCATTTTGACAGGAAATAGATTTACAAATATCATTTTGACAGGAAATAGATTTACAAATATGTTAGCCATTTTAACAGGAAATAAATTTAAAAGGTTGTCAGCCATTTTAGCAGGATATATATATTTACAAGGTTGTCAGCCAAATTACCAGGAAATAGACTTACAAGTATGTCAGCCATTTGGCAGGACATAAGTCAGCCATTTTAGCAGAGTATATCAGCCAGTTTAGCAGAAAATAGATTACAAAGTTGTCAGCAGGACATAGAGTTTCAAGGTTTACGCCATTTAACAGGAAATAGATATACAAGTAAGTCAGCCATTTTATTAAATACCAATAAAAAGGAAAAAGAACTGCAAAAACCAATCATTAAAAGAAATTTAGAATTATGGAATTATATACTTATTTTTAAGGAAGTTTATGGACGATCCCCACAATTTGGCGAACAGAATGTTTTTTGAAATTAAATCAAAACATATTCAGGTTAGAATTTGATTTAAAATGTTGACTTTATAAGTTTAGAGTATTCGACAAAATGATTTAAATTATCCACTTTAAGTTCAAAGTGCTAATTTATCATGTACAGGTGTACAGTACACTATATATCATGCACAGGTGTACAGTACGCAATATATCATGTACAGCTGTACAGTACAGAATATCACGTACAGATACGTACAGGTAGGGATGTTAACGTTTTCATTTTTCAGAAAAACGATCGTTTCGTTATGAAAACGACGACGAAAAATCGAAAACGAAACGAACGTTTTTAAAAACGATAGTTTTTTTTAAAAAGTTCGTTTTTTAAAAATGGTCGTTTTTAAAATGATCGTTTCAAAACGCTCGTTTTTAAAAAAGATCGTTTTTCAAAACGATCGTTTTTATAAAATTCGTCGTTTCGTTAACGATCGTTAACGACGACCCTTCGTTAACGATCGTTAACGAAGAGAGTAAACCGACCTGAAGGGCATCTGTACTTATCATTGATTAGTTTTCAAGAAAATATCAAGGAGTTTTAACTCCCCCACAACTGTTAAACTTCATGTAAGACAACAGTCAATAAAGTTGCATGTAATTTTTTTTCCAAAAACGACCGTTTTGATAAAGTTCGTCGTTTCGTTAACGATCGTAAAGGACAACCCTTCGTTAACAACGACCTTTTGTTAACGATCGTTAAAGACGACCCTTCGTTAACGATCGTTAACGACGACCCCTTCGTTAACGATCGGTAACGAAGAGAGGAAACCGACCTGAAGGGCATCTGTACTTATCATTGAGTAGTTTTTAAGAAAATATCAAGGAGTTTTAACTCCCCCACAACTGTTAAACTTAATGTAAGACGACAGTCAATAAAGTTGCATGTAATTTTTTTCCAAAAACGACCGTTTTGATAAAGTTTGTCGTTTCGTTAACGATCGTTAACGACAACCCTTCGTTAACGATCGTTAACAACGACCTTTCGTTAACGATCGTTAAAGAAGACCTTTCGTTAACGATCGTTAAAGACGACCCTTCGTTAACGATCGTTAATGACGACCCTTCGTTAACGATCGTTAACATAATTGTCAATAAAAAAATTTTCAAAAACGATAGTTTTTTTAAAAACGATCATTTTTTTTTTTAAACAATCGTATAAAAAACGGTCGCAAATCGTTTTAATAAAAACGATCGTTTTCAAAAACGATCGCTATTCGTTTTCTAAAAGTTCAAAACGAGTGGGTCGTTTTTAAAAACGATCGTTTTTTCCGAAAACGAAACGATCGTTTTTGAAAACGAAACAAAAAACGACCGTTTAACGATCGTTTTCAAAAACGATTAACAACCCTACGTACAGGTTTACAGTACATAATATATCATGTACACTGTACAGGTCTACAGCAGAAAATATCATGTACATGTGTACTGTATAGATTATATATCATGTACAAGTGTACAGTACAGATTATATCATGTACAGGTGTACAGGGCAGAATTTATCATGTACAGGTGTACAGTACAGAATGTATTATGTACAAGTGTACAGTACAGAATATATAATGTACAGATGTACAGTAGAGAATATATCATGTACAGGTGTACAGTACAGAATATTTCATGTACAGCTGTGTACAGGACAGAATATATCATGTATAGGTGTACAGGACAGAATGTATCATGTACAGGTGTACAGTACAGAATATTTCATGTACAGCTGTGTACAGGACAGAATATATCATGTATAGGTGTAGAGGACAGAATGTATCATGTACAGGTGTACAGTACAGAATATATAATGTACTGGTGTACAGTACAGAATAAATAATGTACAGATGTACAGTAGAGAATATATCGTGTACAGGTGTACAGTACAGAATATTTTATTTACAGCTGTGTACAGGACAGAATGTATCATGCTCGGGTGTACAGTACAGAATGTATTATTTACAGGTGTACAGTACAGAATATATGATGTACAGGTGTAGAGGACAGAATGTATTATGTACAGGTGTACAGTACAGAATATATAAGGTACAGGTGTGCAGTACAGAACATATGACGTACAGGTGTACAGTACAACCCTGCTTGTGCATGCAGAATTCTCTGGCCTTCGACATATAATGTTTCATCATCCCTGGATATCCTCTGCAGCGGGTAATATATATAATTGGAGGGGAGGGGGTGAGGGGTAAGTAAGGGTGGCCAAAATTTGGTATATAAGGTGTCCTATATAAAATCATGAGAATTCGTAGTTTTTACAATTAAGGGTTTGCGACACCAGTTTGCAAAGATATTTATGTAATAGTTTTTATTTTTTAAGGGAACCCATGGCCATGGGTATAAAATTTCAACAACAAAAAATGGAATTTTTTTCTTCAAAATTCTTATTCAAAAAAATTGTTTCCAAAATCCAACTGGTAACGCCGGGGAATTTATATTATAAAAAATATTTACAACAATCCTTAAAGACAAGAGCTAAGTTCAGTACAATGACTTCAGTTCCTATATTTTCTTTTATTCTTAATTTTCATCATTTTTAGGTATTCTTTCCAACATTGTTGTTCTCTCTCTAGTCATTCTAATCTCTTGGAGCAGGTGGGCTTTTAAAGGGACTGTACATAGTTATATAAGTGACACTTAATTCACAAAGGGACATGGCTGAGACACAACAGTACACTATGTGATTTTTTCTCATACAAATTTTAAGATTGACGCTGTAAAAAATAACGATATAAGGATTGAACTTAGTTTTCTATGGATATAAGTATTAAGCAAAGAAAAAACTAAGCTTTAAGGTGGAGGGATCCAAGAATTCAAGGAAAAAGACTTATTAGTTTTGTAAAGTCGTCTCTGAAGTCTCGTCTTTTGTAGAAAGAAAAACTGACATATATGTTTGCAATATCAAATTAAAATAACAGATAGGACACTAGATGTCGTCTTTTCAAGATTTGGATGAAAATCGTTAACTATAACACTGAGGCAGAAGCCCAGAGGAGTTTCGCGCAGTCGGTGTAGAACAGGCTCTCATCTCTGTCTTGTAATTCTACGCCGACCCCGCGCGCGAAACTCCTCTGGGCTTCTGCCTCAGTGCTATGAACGATTTTCATCCAAATCTTGAAAAGACGACATCTAGTGTCCTATCTGTTATTTTAATCAATCTATACAAAAACTATTCTAAAATACAGAAATTTTGCTAAAATTTGAGAAAAAGGAAGTTAGCAATATCTTGCAAATCTGGATTCTCAGAAATGTGTGGAGACTTCAAATCTTTTTATAAATACATAAATAAATGGTCTCATATTCTATCAAAATGCTAGTAATTTCAAAATTCTTTCGGTCATTCTATATTATATCTAACATGGCAGATGGGTTTTGAATGAATACCATTAAAAAAATTTTCCCTTCTTTTGATCTTTAAATTCAAACAGATTAAAAATTTTACTTGGCGTAAAAATCCCTGTGCATTTTTTTTGATATCTTTCATGCTAAAAGTTGTCTTTTTCCGTTTGATAAGTAAATGAACATTTGATGTACCATACAGATAAAAGTCTAAATAAAGTTTACATTTTACAGTTTTTATTTTTTTGTCAATAATTAGATTGTTCACCGAAGACGAGGAGTATTACCTGCAACACTACGATTCAGGTAGCAACTTTTAAAAAAAACATTTTTGTAAATCCCAATTGGTTAAAGTGTTATCTATCAGTCTAAGAATAAGAAGCTAGTTTTGAAAAAAAGAAATAATATTTAAATGGTTAATTTGAGACAAAATCATAATACACACTCCTGTATGCCGAGTCCATTTGCCCCGATCCAATCAGGGTTCAGTCATGTGTTTGTTGACTATTCGAACCAATAGAAATAGTATGGCGGTAACATCTATCTTTCTATCTATCTCATTCTCCAATTAGAGTTATGAATCCTTCAATCGGCGCTATCAGTAAATGGAAATATTTACGTCTACTGAAACTATGGTGATCTACTAAATGGTGGTAGATTTCAATTATTATTTTTTAATTTACTTTCATATTGTTAGCACCTTTTTGAGAATTTTTAAATTTGTATGACACCCGATAAGTCGCCGATTCATTGGTTCATGCTTGTTGGACACAGTTTCTCAACTTGAAGATGTAACTTGAGCCCGAGTCAGGGTGTCCCAATTAACATTAACCAGGCCCGGACACAGTTTCCCAACTTGAAGATGTAACTTGAGCCCGAGTCAGGGTGTCCCAATTAACATTAACCAGGCCCGGACACAGTTTCTCAACTTGAAGATGTAACTTGAGCCCGAGTCAGGGTGTCCCAATTAACATTAACCAGGCCCGGACACAGTTTCCCAACTTGAAGATGTAACTTGAGCCCGAATCAGGGTGTCCCAATTAACATTAACCAGGCCCGGACACAGTTTCCCAACTTAAAGATGTAACTTGAGTCCGAGCCAGGTTGTCCCAATTAACATTAACCAGGCCCGGACACTGTTTCCCAAGTTGAAGATGTAACTTGAGTCCGAGCCAGGGTGTCCCAATTAATATTATCTAGACCCACCGTAGTTATAATTTCTTAATCTAAGTTTATTGTGTTTTTAACCCTCATTGTATAATTTCTAGGATTACATGGAGAAATATTGAAGGAGGATGATCTAGATAAAGAAGAAAAGGAAAATATCGTTTTTTTGTGACAAATCTTTATTCAAGAACAATTTGGCCTGATTTTTGTTTAAATTGAGACTTAAATTGGGGGAATAAATCATTTAATTTGACTTAATTTAACTTAATATTTCTTTTACTTAGTTTTGTTTTTAATAATCTATTTTAAGAAATGGATTAACCAAAGACGATATTCTATCTTTTAGGAGATTTCAAACACAGACGACATAGAAATCCTCAAAAATGGCGGAGCAAAGAATATTGAAACAATACATTAAATGTTGTAAATTATTGTGAAAATTTTTTTCCAAATTTTTTATTCCCGATACGAGAGCCTATAATTGATAACGCTGAAAGCATGTAAAAAAAAAGGAATTCATAGAAATTTATTCAAATTTTTTTAATAAGGTGAGAGCTTGAGACGCATAAAACTGGAATAGGAAAACGACTTTTAAATTTTTTAACATGTTTTTATGAAACGAACATTGTTTCCAGTAATTTAAACAAACAATTGTCTTTCTGTTTCTCAGTTTTATTGGGCTCACTATAGGGTTATCGAAAGAAATTATTTTTATTATGAGTTTAAATGTCAGCGTTCGTTTTTTGTTCTCGATACTTTGTAGACTCAATTTACTTAATTTACATATCAAACAATTTGCTAGCAAAAATAAACTAATTATAAAATTACAGCGGTTGTTTTATTTGTTAAAAATGACCTCTCATAGTTTGAGTTTATTGGCAAACTTAAAGGATAAAAACTTCTAAGGCTTAATAAACCTTATTTGTTTTAACAATTTATTACTTTTTATTTTTTATTTTATAAATTGGATTCAGTTAATATTTGATTATTCTTGTCATCAATTCTCTCCTTCAATTACTTTATTTCTATTTCTTCTGTTGACTGTCCCTGATTCTTATAATTTTTAAAAAACAAATTTTGCCGAAATAAGTATTTTTTGTACACTCACTCTGCTCAATTGTATGATTGGTGTTCAGATGATTAATTTAACTTAACTCTTGAGTTTTAATTAATTATTAAATGTTACAAGAAAACAAATTACAGTTTTACTAAGTTTATAATCAAATATTTGTACAACGACTCCCTTAAAACTGTGGATTATAAAGACGACATTTTAGCAACCGTTTGTCTCCTTAATTATTATTTATTATAAAGTAAACAGTTCTACCAGTTAGCTTGAAAATTAACCTCTCAAGTCAAATGGGTCCATCCATGTGTATATAATCGAAAATTTGCTTTGTTTCATTTTTATTGTGAATTGTTTGAAGACGGAACTAAAAAGATGAAATCGAGGCCAAATCCCTCCTTTATACGAGTGATGAAATTCTTGAAGGTATTTTGTCCTAAAAAACTACAGTGAATCCCAGATATATTGTCTCAGAAAATGAGAAAGATGAATGAATTTGGCGAGTAAGTATTTTGGGGAAGTTGAGTTGGGGAGGGTAGTTTGAGATGGTAGGATATATATAACCAGAAATATATAAAAGACTTCTTAATCTTTAACCAGCAATATGATGTTCTCTCTCTCTCTAAGAATCGATGTGGTTGCAAATTAAAGAAGTATATATTGATCAGATCTGGTCACATAAAGAATATAGGTTTCTTTGCACTCGCTTTGACCGCGAGGGTGGTACGAGGGTCGAACAGTTCTTTTCTTCTTTGTAGGAGTTACATCTTGAATCCTTCCTCTTTTCTGGTTCTATATCGACTGTGTATAGCCTGCTTTTTGCAGATTGCCAAATGCAGGGCAAATTTAAAGATAGTAATATTTGACAATATAAACACTTTTAGGCTTAAAAAAGATATAAGTGAAAACATGAAAACATATTAATAACTTTTGTTTCAAGGGATCTAAACACTCTTTTCTGGTTCTATATCGACTGTGTATAGCCTGCTTTTTGCAGATTGCCAAATGCAGGACAAATTTAAAGATAGTAATATTTGACAATATCAACACTTTTAGGCTTAAAAAAGATATAAAAGTGAAAACATGAAAACATATTAATAACTTTTGTTTCAAGGGATCTAAACACCCCTTTAGCTAGGCAGCATAATACTGCGCAAAATATGCACACAGGCTGGTTTTTTGCACAGGCTTTTTTCTTTCTTATACTTCTAAAATTCATATTTTCCTGTCCATTGTCATTTGTCATAAATAAAGCATGATATAAAAAGTTTATAGTGTCGTAACTTTTACATAAAATCCAAACTATTGGGATCCCAAACGATTATCAACTAATGTTCAAGATATTGGGATTAAGCTTGGTTTGGGAATAAGGTATATGAATGAGATAGAACCAATTGGAAGTAGGTAGAAAAGTTTGGGAATTGGAAAGGATATCAACTAAAGAGGAAGTTGGGATTGGGATGGAAATCAGCTGTTGAGAAATTTGGGATTGGAAGATTTGGGATTAGGAATCAATGAGAGCTAGGATGAAAATAAGGGTTGTTATATTATTATTATTATTAAAGATTTATTCACACACATTTAATATACATACACATATTACATATTACATATGTTAATGGTATAGTTTAAATTTGTTTTGTTAGGAATGATATGAAATGTATTCATTATTCACTCGCATAATCTCCAATTTCATAAACCTGCTATTTTAAAGAAATCTATAGTCAGACTTTTGATAATATTTTTCTTTCAGGAATAAATTCCTTGCACTTAAAAAGTTGATTCAGGAAAGTATCAAATTTTGGTAACAATAAAAATGTAAGCAATATTTAGAACAGGTCAGCTTGTAATTAAAACATATTCTAACTGCATACAGACTTTTTCAGCATATTCTTGATGTTTCTAATAGACTTGACATCCAGACTAATCAAAGGGTGTAAACTCATTATCGATGTTGCAGGTAGACTTGACATCCACATTTCGCACTCATCAAAGGGTCTAATCCAATTTTTGTTTCTAGTAGACTTTTAACATCCACAATAATCAAAGGGTATAAACCCATTCTCGATGTTTCTAGTAGACTTGACATCCACAATAATCAAAGGGTATAAACCAATTCTCGATGTTTCTAGTAGACTTGGTAGTTAGAGTGATTGGAAAGATTGGGCAAAGGAATAGATGTTTTTTGAGAACCACTGTATTGAAAGAGAATGAACAAAATATTGAAGTTTAGTATAAAGATACAGATAGAATAAAATATGTGTGTGTAAAACTATAAGAGAATAAATGATTTAGTTGATAAAAATGTTAAATAGGAATGAAGACGACATTTTGGAAAGGATGAACGTATTATTGTCAAGTTAGAATAAGAGAGAGAAAAGGATAAAAAATCATCTTTAGAATCATTCAATAATCCGACTCAATATTAATACATAGCAAGAGTTTTTTTTAATGTTGTATTCCATTTAAGATCAAATGCCGCGGAAAAATTAATAAGTTTAATATTAATCATGGAATCCATGATATTAATGATCCATGATATTAATACATCAATTGCATTCGTTTCCAGTTTTAAAAAATGAACTAGTCAACAGCTTTCCTCAAACTTAACTAAAGGAGCTACGAGGTCACAAAGTTGTGCCAGTAATGTCGCGTAAATTTGACCTTTTCCCTTTTTCTTACAGTTTGAAGTGGAAAATGTATGATTCTCAAGGACACTGTTGTGACTTGTGATTTCGAGTGAATCCCATTTAAAAGAAGGTATTCACGATTCACAGCGGTACCCTTTAAAATACGCCTCAGAAGACATATTTGTTTTCTTCCGAAAAATTGATATTTCTAATTGACTTGCAGGAGAAACTAAGAAAAAAAAATGTTAAAACACTCTACTAGACAGAAAAATTGAAAGTTTGAAACCATTGTTTACTTCTTCTTAGTATGCCAATACACTTTAATTCAAAAACCATGAAAAAATCAAGGAAAGAGCAAGTAGCTTTGAAATCTTATATGTTTTTTTATAACTCCTCTTATTGAAGAGCTATTGATAATTAATAAGAACAAACATATTTCGAATTGCTAATATTCACCCGTATAAAATTGCCTTTCTCAAACTTAAAATTGTCTTTATCAAACCGAAAAATCAGAACTAGAGGATCGCGAGGTCACAAACTCGTACTGGTAAAATAATTTCAATTTGACCTTGAATAAATAAATAACCGATAATGTAATCCAAAAAGAATAAATTTTATTCTGTTTTATTTTCTTTAGACACTTTTAATACAGTATAAAGATGAGAAATAAATAAATAAATAAATTAATAGATAAACAAATGACGAGTGAAATATTAATTTAGCAACAATATTTTTACAATAGTTTTGATTAATTTTTCACAGCATAGCACATATAGCTGCACACAGCATATATTTATCGAGAAAAATTGTGGTATTTAATGAAAAGAAAATAAAGGGCATGAGCATCTTAACAGTTAAGTGAAATTTGGGAGGTAGAATTAATAAGAGATTATGAAGACCATGGCAATATATTAACCTTTGACTTTGAACGGAATTGATCATTAAAAATGCCTTTGTCCACAGTCAACTCAATTAAAGTCAGCCATTGGATCTACTGTTACAGTCGACCATTGCAATCAGTTAACATCGACATTGTTAAAGGTTGAACTCGACATGCAAGATCTGTTGCTTACAGTCGATCTCGGCCGTATGATCTGCTGTACTTCCAGAAAGTTGACCTCGACAAGAAGATCTGCAGATTACTGTCGACATCGACCCATAAGTTCTGCTGTTTAAGGTCGGCCTCCTGCTGTGTACAGTCGACCTTCTGTTGTTTAAGGTCGACCTCCTGCTGTTTAAGGTCGACCTCCTGCTTTTTAAGGTCGACCTTCTGCTGTGTACGGTCGACCTTCTGCCGTTTAAGGTCGACCTTCTATTAAGTTTACGGTCGGCCTCGACCGTTTGGTTTGTTGAGCGTAAAAGGACAACATGAATTGTCTGTACTTCCCACGCTCTGACAAGAGTGAAATATATTCTCGGGATCCCAAAAACTCTGAAATTTAAAAAAAAAATTACCAAAATATTGAAAATAATTTTTAGATAAAATTTTTAAATAAATCATTTATAAAAAAATAAAGTAATTTCTTATTTAACCATTAGCAAAGGACAAATATTACTTATGAAAAAAGTTTTTAAGTAATACAAATTGTCCTCCATTGCTTAAAACAAATTTTAAAAATGTTTTAATTTAAAAAATATTTTCAAACCTTTATAGCAAGTAGTTGATAATAATTTTGTCCCCAATATTTCCACATCCAATCCTCACTGAAAAAAAACTTTAGTTAAAGGGGATAAAAGATAGAAATAATTATAAAAAATACATTAAACTCCTATTTTTTAAATCTAAAAAGGTTTATATCTATCTGGAATTATTTGTTTTCGAAAAACTTAAAAATGTTTAAGTTTTGGAGGAGAAGATAAAATCAGATTTTACCCGGATGTATCTTGTTTTTTTTTTAAATATTTCCAAAACTTGCAATTTGTGCTTTAAGACTAGCTAGTATCTACCTGTCCAGAGATATATATGTCCATTTTATTTCAAAATCGACATTTTATAAATTCTTTCGATATCTCCAAAGTTCTGGATTAAACTGTAAACTTTGACGTAAGATGTTTCTAAGATGTTTACCTGTCACAGCTAGGGAAGTTGTAGTACTTGCTATAGCTCAGATTATAATGATCTAATCTTTTTTCCATTGTTTTCTTCACCCTGTATATTAAATCATTTTTAGAATATCAATGATATCATTGAAATATAAAAATCCTCTAATTTGATAATTATTATTGATTTTTTTTGTTGTTATATAGAAAAAGTCTTATTATGTGAAGAAAGAAAAACATTTAATAAATCAGTTCTTATGCTGTACTTTAAATCAACAGAAAGACTGCTTTATTTTTTGGTCGTTTCTAATGAAAAAAAGACCATTTCCTTTGAAATTTCTTTTTTGTCTGATTGGACTTGGAGATGTACATATACAGAAATGGGACTAATGGGGCTCACCCTTAGTTGACGGATCAAATAAATTGGACTGAAGGTTTTTGTTTAATAATTTATTGTTAAACTTTAATCACCAATAAACAATAAATACCTTATAACTTCTCTGGGACATTCAGAATTCCTATTCCTAAATTAAAAATATGTTTTTCAATTCATTCCAATTTCTTGTCAAAATATTAAAGTGTCCACTGTCTAGTGTAAGTGTTTAGTATTAGTGTCTTTACCATTAGTTTCTATAGAAAAAATGTCTAGTGTAAGTGTCTAGTATAAGGGCCTAATATACGTGTGCAGCAAAGTGTCTAGCTTAAGTGTTTAGTATTGGTGTCTAGTATAAGTTTCTAGTGTATTGTATAAGTGTCAAGTATTGACACTTATTATTATATTAAAGTAATATTATTATATGTCTAATATTTACGAGAATAGACAGACAAGGTTAGCGTCTATAGTATATAAAAGTCTAATATAAGTGTCTAATATAAGTGATTAGTATAAGTGTCTAGTATTTATATTGTCTAATATTTACTTGAATAGACAGACTAGGTTAAAGTATATAGTACGTGTCTAATATAAGTGTCTAGTTTAATTGTCTAGTATTTATAGTGTAATATTTACCTAAATAGACAGACAAGGTTAGAGTCTATAGTAGGTGTCTAATATAAGTGTCTAGTATTTACAGTGTCCAATATTTACTTGAATAGACAGACTAGGTTAGAGTCTATAGTAGGTGTCTAATATAAGTGTCTAGTATTTATAGTGTCCAATATTTACTTGAATAGACAGACTAGGTTAGAGTCTATAGTAGGTGTCTAATATAAGTGTCTATTATTTATAGATTCTAATATTTACTTGAATAGACAGACTAGGTTCGAGTCTATAGTAGGTGTCTAATATAAGTGTCTAGTATTTATAGTGTCTAATATTTACCTCAATAGACAGACTAGGTTAGAGTCTATAGTAGGTGTCTAATATAATTGTCTAGTATTTATAGTGTCTAATATTTACCTGAATAGACAGACTAGGTTAGAGTCTACCCCATGCACCAGATTGTTGTCTGTATTGGTAGAGATGGGATACTCAACACTCGGAAACGATTGTCTGGAAAATAAATATATTTCAAATCCGATTCACATCGGTAATCTTAAGTGAGGGAACGATATCATAATTTGTCTAGTTTTAAGGGACCGTTCACTTATTTGGGTTGTTTCAGAGTAAACTAAACAGCCTATTCGCTGCTTATAGGTATAAGTCTTACTTTTAAAAGACAACTTTCGTTCAGAATTCGAGAGCAAACTCCAAACTGCATAGTGCATTGTGATTGCTTATTCGTAATATCTCATGCTTTGTAGTTGAATAAAAATATGAATGAATGAACCCTTTTAATAGTTACACGCCCTATAAACTTGTATATGTGTAACATTAGAAATATTTAATCATTGTCTCACTTGACAGTTCGATTATGTATATTTCCATCGTTGTCTAACTTGACAGTTCGATTATGTATATTTCCATCATTGTCTAACTTGACAGTTCGATTATGTATATTTCCATCATTGTCTCACTTGACAGTTCGATTATGTATATTTCCATCATTGTCATTGTTACATAAATCCGGATTTGAAAATGGTAAAGGTAGCTCTTTCAATAATGAAATGTGCACTTCAAAAGTAGGGTTTCTAATCGGAATATCGGTGCGCGGAATTGCACGCAACTCCTCTCGAATTGCGCAGAGTTTACAGGGCTCGCAATTGCGCGGAACTAAAATCCACTTGCGTTTGAAACCCTATTCAAAACAGAAGCAGCCCCTTTACGGTGCAATTATTGCATCCAAGGTTTGTAAATTTTTATAATAATAATATATTATAATAATATATTTTTCTCATAATAATATATTTTTCTAATAATAATATATTTTTCTCATAATAATATATTTTTCTAATAATAATATATTTTACCTATTTCTGAAATGAATGACCCAGAAGCAGTAATCACATCCCAGTTCTCGGAACATCTGATTATTCGTTCTTTTTATTCCGAAAGTGGGATTTCGGAAGAATACCTAAAACGGAAAAGCTATAATTAATGTCAAAAATTTCGGAATTTATCTTGGCAACTCTTCTATGAAAAGATTTCCACACCTAATGGGATATCCAGTATTTTCATAATTAATAAATACTGAAATATCTTTATAGTGTATATGTAAAGTTGTAATCTTTCTGTTTGTTTGTCCGATCATAACTCAGAAACCCCTGGTCCGATTTGCCTCAAATTTTGATTGAGAAACTTGGGAAACCCACGGGAATGTTCTTAGCTTGGTTTTGAGATTCTAAGTTGAGTGAGTCGACTTTAATGGCGAAAATTTAGTTTCACGGTAAAATCGTTCAAGTGCGGGTAAACGGCGGGAGTAACTTTTAGAAACCTTGGCAGCGCTGGGTTCCCAAGCTAGTAATCTATAAAGTAGTAATCTTTGGTTGTATGTCTGTTGGAATGTCCAATAATGACTCATAAACCCCAGGACCGATTTGCCTGAAATTTGTATAGTGGAACTCGGTAGAACACCGGAAACCTGATACAAAATTTTCAGTAAAAACTCCAGGCAAAGTTGGGTTCCCAAACAGTTTGTTGATTTAAATCATAACGCTTTAATACTCTGTTAAAAATGTTTTTTTTAAAGTTTTCAATATTAAAAAAACTAACCTCTTCTAATGCAGTGGTGTCAGCCATACCCCCTAGAAAATAAATATTTTGTGACTGCACGGAGCTTTTTAACTTACAATTCTTTCTTTTTTACTACAGTGATAAACAGAATAGGAGGCCAATAGCAATACTTTAGTGTATTTAATGCTGTTACAGAGAAAATAGTTAACTAGTTTCTTATAAAATCACTTATATTAAGTGAAATAGATCTGTTTGCATTAAACAATTGCTGTGTCTCATTTTCTTTGAACTATTTAAAGTCATTTTAAAAGTCGTCTACTTATTCCATAGTTTTCTGGTGATCACTGTATGAAAAATGTTATTGAATTCAAAAGACCGAATTTAATCTCCTATATATTATATTCTAAAAGTTTCAAGCCGTCATTAGATTCTTCTACTGTGTGGAACATAGAAAAATATGCGATTTTTTTTCATAGTTTTTTGATAAAAGAAAAGAAATTGATTAATTAAATTGTTAACCAGGATGTTAATTTTTAAGAAATGAGTTTTGAACATTTGGGGGAAGGAATAATTATAAATTGGCCGTATGATACAAATTCGTGTTTTTTTCATACTTTTTACTAAAAACCTTATTTATCTCCTGCATAAACATCATTTATTTCCCCAAATTTAATATACCGATCTTCTGCAAGATAAAAAACTTACCTGAATGAACACCTGCAAGATAAAAAACTTACCTAATTGAACACGTGCAAAATAAATAACTTACCTAAATGAACACCTGCAAGATAAATAACTTACCTAATTGAACACCTGCAAGATAAAACACTTACCTAAATGAACACCTGCAAGATAAAAAAACTTACCTAAATGAACATCTGCAGGATAAATAACTTACCTGAATGAACACCTGCAAGATAAATAACTTACCTAATTGAACACCTGCAAGATAAAACACTTACCTAAATGAACACCTGCAAGATAAAAAAACTTACCTAAATGAACACCTGCATGATAAAAAACTTACCTAAATGAACACCTGCTAGATGGTATTCTCCGGCTGGTTGAACTTCTTGCTCTTTGATATTCATCTCATACAAATATCTGGAATTTATACAAGGTGTATCAAGAAAATATCTGGAATTCATTCGGGGTGTATCAGGAAAATGTCGGGAATTTATACAGGGTGTATCAAGAAAAACTTTTAAGTACGGGTAGAGAATAGCTAGTGATCAAAGAAAAACTAAAAATGTGCAAATTCCCTTTAAAAAGTGTTTGTGCAAAAGCTTTGCAAAATGTTTTTTTTGCCAAAAATTGTGCAATCTGCTTTCGTTTGTTGTAAGCTTTCCAAAGAGCTTAAAAATGTTTAAATCCAATGACTTAAAGTAGGCCAAAATATAGATTTCTACTGAACGAACGGAAACTTTGAGAAAGAACGTAAAATGTTGTCCATAAACGGACAGTTTAGTCCTTTGTTAAATAACAAGCGGCTATCTGAAAAGTAGTTTTTGGAGCGATTTTAACTAACCGTTGACGAACGGTTTGAAAAACGTCTAATTGCGTGCCCAGTCCTATTTTTACCTGGCAAATGAGTCAAATGCTTTGACAATAACAGGATTAGTGTAGACTAGATTCACTCCATATTTTTCAAGAAATCTAAATAAAGTTTCCTTTTTAACTTTTATTATTTTCGTATATTTTTCCTACAGAAATGTTGCCTATCAAGTTTATCAGAATGTAGAAGAAAAGTAAAGACATGAAACGAAAAGAAAAAAAAGACTTATTGGCGTTTTTAAACAGCACTACGAATGTTTTTTATTAATCTTTGTTTGTATGGGTCAGTCTTAAAAACATTTAATTGCAGATTTTTTTCAGAGTTTTTTTCTGGAGAAACTTTACTGAAGGTTTTCTGAAACAAATTAGATCTCCATAAAATGTTTCTTTAATCGATAAAATTAGAAAATAAAATTTTTATGTGTTACGAAAAAAAATATTATAAAAATATTTACCTGGCTGCTTCTACAGGGTCTGTAAATTCGCCAGCATACGGTCTAAATATATATATTTTAGAAATAGAAATTTAGATAACTAGAACTTTCGCGTGCTCATTCCTATTAACAATTTTATTTTTGTACTCTGAAAGTCGCCAATTAAGCGTTTTCAAATTTTCGCGGTCGTTTTCTTTCAAAACAGCTAAATTTTAAAATAATGAAGACATTTCATGGCAACGATTTTCAGCTCTGAATTTAATTCAGTTTTTTTCACGAACTGCTTCATTATCAATATTTGAATATTAACTTACCAACAACCCAGAAATGGAAAAAACAGAAAAAAGTATCTGTTAAAATTGATTCCGACTTTATTGATTTATAATTGTATGTACATGATAACTCGTTAAGAAACTCTTGTGATAAACTCATATTTTTAACAATCTTGTAAACGATAATAACCATGATACGTAAATAAATATCTAGATTTTAAAAAGATTTTCAGCTCTGCAGGGTCAGAGGTTTTGGAATTGATCGTTTAAGCCATTTTTACGTTTATTGGATACAAACCAAGACAAGCAAAGTATTTATATGGATACAGTATAAACATAAATCTGTTAATAGGAATAAATCAATCCTTTGTGTCTAGTGTATTTTTGTTTCAATGATTTAAATCTTAAAGGGAAAGTACGCCTTGTTTCAATTGACTCTCCATGCAAAGTTAACATCGCGAATCGGACATCGCCATCTTTGCATGGAGGGTCTCTTGAAATTACAATCAAGTCACTTCAAGTTAAATGGGTCTGTGTACAATGCACTAATGCTGTGTTGCATGTACACTGCACTATTTAAAAATCATAACTTGATTCTAACAGTCTAGTCCTCCTATTTCACAGTCCCATGGGTCTTATTTAACAATTCTCAATGAGCATTTGTTTTCCTTGGTTCAGTACGCTGAAATAAGTAAAAACCACAAAAAGTTAGAGGCTAATGTTCCATTTTTTGTTTTAAGGAAAAGAAAGGTCGGAATTAATTGGTGTTAAGAAGTACTTAAACCATAAACGAATAATTTAACTTCTTTTTTGTAGTTAATAATTGCATTTGATAATCATTTATCATTAATTACGACAACTCTCGATGGTGGAAGTTTATAATATTATTATTAACATTTCTAAATAATGATTTCAGCTTTGTTGCACTCAAGGAACTAGGAACGCCCAACTCAGATATACGCATATTATGTACTGTACACTGTTGGAGGAATGTAAACAAACCCAGTGCCCCTACAGAAGTTGAAGGGTAAGGACTACAGCTCTGATGTGATATTACAGTTCAACAAAAAACAAGTTAATATATCAAGTTAGAATACTAATGACTTTTGGCTTTCTAGTCAAAATGGAAAATACAATAGCAAATATTCATAATTCAGCCCTTGGGCCATTTTCCCTGAAAAATGATGCGTTGCCCCTGAATTCTTTGTTTTGATCTCCTCCCACTGAAGTACACAGATTTGACGCATCAGATATGGCTGTTCCTGGTCTATATATTTCTTGGTTGCACTTAAATCTACTGCGAGAACTAGACAACTGCGGAATAGAGGATCAGACACCATAAATACAATAAGTATATTTGACGTTGTTAAAAGGAAATAGTAATCCATTATATTGAATTATTAAGTTAAATGTACCTGTTTACACGGCACTATTACTGTGTTTCATGTTTATTGGACTATTTAAAGTCGTCTTCCTATTTCAGAGTTTTATGGTTCTTTAAAAATTTAAATTTTTACCTAATATCAGTTATAGTGAGGAAGAGTGGGAGGTCTCCTGATCTAAAATATATTTATTAAAAAGGGATTGTTCATGTTTCTGTAAAGAGTGTCCAAAAGTTGAGAGACTACTTAAATGTCGTCTTTGATCTTTGAAATAAATTTTAGCAATAAAATTCGTTAAACTTTTTTAAGATTAAACATCTTAAATATTTAATATTTTCACCAAATTTCCAAAACCATGACCTGCCTTTTCTGTCTAATTTATAAAGCACAAAAATGGCAGAACTTGGTGAATTCTGTGTTCATTGTTTCAAGATATAAATGTGGATTGAATGCCGCAGATTATTTCAAAGATCCACGACGTTTTGCAACTGTCATGTTTCCTGGGACACCCTGTATTTGAAAATACGCATAAGAGTCAAATTTTGTAATTTAGAACAAAACATACTTTTTATGAGAGACTGCAAAAAAAGCTAAAAAGATTGAAACTTTCATTTAATATTTGTTTTTGGTCCAAAAAAGATACCGTTTCTTTTTGTAATTTTTTTAAATGTTTTTGGTTAATTTATAATTTATGTTTAATATCTTAATAATTTTACAGTTTTTGTTTTCATGTGATTGAACAATATAATCTTTTATTTCGATTTTGAATTAGAAAATGTTCCATAAAGCTGGAAAACAACATAGATTTTGATTATAAAACTGAAAAAAAGGATTAGAATGATTAAAAATAAGAACCTTTCGATCTGACCATCGATTGTGTTAACTTTTAAAATTATCGTTTAATAAAGAATGTGCTTTTGGCCAACAAACGAAAGTGAAGATAAAAAATTAAATTCACAGTTTTTAAGATACTATTTTCATGGTTTTGAAATGGGGGGGGGAGTAACCATCTAAAACTTCATTAAAATATTCAATATAATGAAAGTTTAAAAAATCATTCAACGTAATTTATAATATATTCTACCTGTGGATGATCTTTAAACTAGTAAGTATTGTTGGTAGAAATTTGTAAACTATCTGAAAAAATCATTATTTTTTACTCAATTATAGAGTAAAGAAAATATTGTTTAAAGGAGTGTATGACCCTCCATGCAAAAATAATAATGTGAAAGATATTGTCATTTCTTGAGGTTTAAAAGTGCTTTATTTCTGTAAATTTCTTTTTTTTAACTAAAATTTTAAATCTAAATAATTTTTACAAAAACCAACAAAACCTTTTTTCGCGCTAAGACAAGGAACTTTTGGGCTTTTAAGCAAATTATTCTACAAATTAAAATTTCTATTTTATGCTTTGCTACAGTTAAGTTCAAATATAAAGAGACTTCGGAAGAATTCTTAAAATGTCGTTCTCTTAACTGCCTGACAATGGAATGCTGCAGATATTTAGTTTTTTCATTAAATAAATATGGAGCGCATATTCATGGTTATTTATTTTTTTTCGCAATTACTTAGATTTTTGTATAATAGTATAAAACCTATTGAAAAATTGTCATGACGACATATTATAAAATTTTCGACGTTAAAAATCTCAAAGTGTCTGGGTTAACTGTATAAAAAGCTTACCCTTGTTTTAAAATTGTTCCAAAAGTCGCCAGCAAACTCATTGTTAACTGATACACTGTACTTCGAGCTACCAGTAGCTGCTGCCTGCACACCCACCAACATATTATTACCCGGCTCATAATACATTATATTATTGCCCGGTTTATAGAACATTATAAGATTGTTTGGTTAGAACATTATATTATTGCCCGGCTCATAAAAATTATATTATTACCCGGTTTATAGAACATTAAAAGTATTTCCCGGTTAAAAGAACATTATATTATTGCCCGGTTCAGAGAACATTATATTATTGCCCGATTCAGAGAACATTATATATTTGCCAGGTTTTTAGAATATATTTTATGAAACGTTTGTGTACTTCTCTTATTTCAATGGCTGGATTTATTTCTATCTATGTTTTGATTATGATTATATGTTAATTGCCTGAAGTTTCCACAAATCAGTTTTATCTGTTACCCAAACCAATAGTACAGCTGGGTTCGTTTCTATAAAATAGAACAATTTAAAGGGACTTGGAAGGTAATTTCAAGTGAACCAACATTTGTGGCATGTCCGGTTCACAACAGAACCCTTTAACCTTTTTTTCTGATTAACGATAAATGATATAACCTTATTTATCTAGTTAAACATTATTCAAGTGACTTGAGACCGAATTTAAAGAATTTGAGCCGCGATTTAAATTAAAGCCGCGGCTTAAATATGGTTGGTTCCATTTAAATTTGTATTAAATTTTTCAAGATTTAAGCCGGTGGTCAATTAAAACCGGCTTTGAGACGTGGCGTAAATTCATTAAATTCGGACATTGGTGACTTGGGATTGCTTCAAAAACAATGAAGAAAAATTATCAGAATTATAAACTTTTAAATTGAAAAACGCCAGTAATTTCCTTTGTATTGCTCAGAAAAAGGTTTGCTTTGTAATGTTGTGAATCGGACTTGCCACTTATTTTTTTATGAAGGGTCCTTTGAAATTACGTCTTAAGTCCCTTTAAATCAAGGTAAAATAACAAATTTATAAACCTAGCAAAATCAAAAATGAAAAAAATATAAAATTATATTTTAAAATCATGAGAGCACAAAGAAAACAAGAAGGAAATATATGATGCAGGCCCTAACATGTTAACATAAATAATAATGATAATAAAGATAATAATGCACACACTGGTCCATTGGTCAAAAGTCAAATGCCTTAATTAAGGCATTTGAATTATGCATAATTTTAATAAAAATAACATTAAAAGTTAAAATAATAGTAATAATAATGGTAAAATGATAATTAAAAACCTGGTGTTGGATGAATGGTATATAGAAACTCTAAATAAATTTTACATTAGAAACATAGAACAAAAGATAAGAAAAAAGATAAAATTTGTTAATTACAATTCCTAAGGCAATCTTACATGACTTAATATTACATGATTGCTGTCAAATACAGTGGTATGCGATAATATCAATACAATGAAGACGACTTTCGACTTTAATTTTGATTTTTATAAAGCTGTTAAACAGCATGCTGCAGATACACATAAACATAAAAATAAAGAGAAGGTGTTAAAAAAGGATCTCTTTGATTACTTGTGTACATTGTAATTTAAAAAAAGCTTTTTAACAATCAAAACTTAGATAAAAAGTCGTCTTCATTGTAGTGATATAATAGCTTACCACCGTAGATGAACCATTCTTGATATGCGATTCACAATGGTCTCCATCAAAGTTTTGACAATCAAGAAAGAATAAAATATCCGTATTTTCTCATTACAAATCAATTCTTTTCAATTGTCGTCTCAAACCTTTGCATTCATGCACAAAAACAATAAAGAAATTTTCAAATCAAAAAACTGATTAAATCTACGAAAACGCTGATAACTACTTTCACATTAATTAATAGATAAAGGTTTAAATGGAGAATCACATTAAGTCACAATCTCCCTTAAATTCATAAAATTGAGTTTTTCCAAAAATATTTTCTGATATAAATATTCCTGTTGCGATTGCATAACTAGATCCAGCCCCTCGCATTGCGAAGAATAGATCATTCTCGTACTGGTTCCTAAATCAAATACTGGTTCCTAAATCAAATACTGGTTCCTAAATCAAATGCTGGTTCCTAAATCAAATACTGGTCCCTAAATCAAATACTGGTTCCTAAATCAAATACTGGTTCCTAAATCAAATGCTGGTTCCTAAATCAAATACTGGTCCCTAAATCAAATACTGGTACCTAAATCAAATACTGGTACCTAAATCGAATACTGGTTCCTATATCAAATACTGTTTCCTAAATCAAATGTTGGTTCCTAAATCAAATACTGGTTCCTATATCAAATACTGGTTCCTAAATCAAATACTGGTTCCTTAATCAAATGATTGTCACCATTATTCTTTCTTTTAATTAAATAATACTGGTCAGGACTGATATATGTCGGATGATGTTTTTAGACTCGAGCACATATCTAGAAATAAAAATAAGTTGAAAGGACTTGAGATTTGGCCACAAACTCAAATTTTCCAATCCTTATATCTTTGTAACCAGATCATGTAAATTTAGATTAACAAATCTTACAGATTTCATAGTTTAAAATATCCAAGATCTGCAACATTGAGTTATAGGAATTAGAAAATCAGTGTTTGTGGTATACACTATACCCACACTTAATTTCTTCATACAAAACCCTTTGTGTAACAAAAACAAAAACAATAACAAAACATGATGAAAACAACAATTCTACTGTTTTATTTTCAGAAAAATAAAATCCGCAGAACATTTTGTTTTCGCAGAAAAAAAATTGAAATGAAAGAGATGCAACAAAAATCCGCGAAAAAGTGTTAGTGCAAATAATTTTGCATTTGATTAACTTTATTTTAATATTTGTCCACCTAAAACATGATTCCTTCAAACAGCACTATTATAATGTTTTATAACATCATCGTCGATCTCAATTCTTTCTACTAACCCTGTATTCATTCGCTGCTTTTTAATCACCCTGTATTTTGATTGATTAATGCTATATGTACTAGAACATGAGTTAACTGTAATATGTATTGTATTTATGATTATACCCCCCACCTCCTCCTTCTCCCCACCCCTCCTCCTCCTCCGTCTCCTCCTCCCCTCCCTCCATTATTCATAAAACAATTCTTTACTCCGGAGGCGGATTTACTGTCTGTTTACAGTAAAAAATATCATAAATATAGAGGTATTTAGTTTTTTACATGGACATTTGAAGCTTGAAGATAATAAAAGGAAAAGAACTGATTAACGTTAATAATGTATGCTAACTGTTATCTATTATACAACTAACACAGTTATTAATGTATGCTAATTGTTATCTATTATACAGCTAACACAGTTATTAATGTATACTAACTGTTATCTATTATACAGCTAACACAGTTATTAATGTATGCTAACTGTTATCTTTTATATAACTAACACGGTTATTAATGTAAGCTAACTGTTATACCAAATAAAATCTGATTATTATATTTATTTGAATATGTTCGTATTTACTTACTGAATAGTTTGTATTGGTTCGTGGGGATACTTTGGATATTTTACTGTGTATCCTAAAATATGGATTTATTAATCATTTTTTTATTTTTCAGCAAAAATATTGAATATTTAGGATATTTAAAAACATATCTAAAAAATTTGGTTTATTTTAAAATTTTTTTACTTTTTTACAATTGAATATTTTCGATGTTTAGCAATATTTTATAAAAAATATAGATTCATTTATTATATTTTATCATTTTGAAAAATTTTGAGTATTTTCCATGTTTTACAGTATATATGAAAAATATTTTTTACTTTTTGTCAACCTGAAAAAAAAATCTATAATTATCTTTTTTCTACTTTTTGCTTCAAAAACAATGAACATTTTTTCTAAATCTTATCAATGTTTGGTTTATTGCAAATACTTTTGTCTAAACTATGTCCATTTAGTATTTCATATTTTGATCTTTTACATCTTTGCTCAGTATTAGATCAATAATCTAATATTCTTTACATTTCTGAGTGATACAGTTTAAAAGTAAAAAAAAATATTTCTAAATTATTTTCTAGTAAAAAAGTTTAATTTTAAGAAAAGGGGCTATATCCAAATTATTTTCTAGTAAAAAAATCAAATTTTAAGAAAAGGGGCTATATCCAAATTATGTTCTAGTTTAAAAATCTAATTTTAAGAAAAGGGGCTATATCCAAATTATGTTCTGGTAAAAAAATCTAATTTTAAGAAAAGGGGTTATATCCAAATTATGTTCTAGTTTAAAATTCAAATCTTAAGAAATGGGACTAATACGTATTATGTTCTAGGTTAAAAATAAAATCTTAAGAAAAGGTATTATTAAAATGATCAAGCGGATTGAGAGTATGCCACAAACTCTGATTTTTCATATCACTATATCTTTGCAACCCTATGTCTTAGACCTTAGATATTTTAAATCGTGAATTCTATTAGATTAAATAAGCTAATTTTTGACTGGAATGTTTACATCATCAGGTTGCAAAGATATAGAGCTTAGAATGCGTGATTTTGTGGCAAAGTCTAAATTCCTTTTGAGAAAAGGGACTGTTTCCGGATTATGTACCTGGATGAAGATCAAGAATAGTCCCATTAGCGGTAACAACTCTCATCTGAAGGATTTGCTCAGCACTATATAAAAGCTTATAATTATTATATATTATATTAATATTAATATTACATATTTATATTTTATAATTTATTTAAAATTGCATCTTTATGGACCAGACCTGGATAGGTAGAATAAAATGCACCATTGAAAGAATAAAATGCACCATTGATAGAATAAAATGCACCATTGATAGAATAAAATGCACCATTCATAGAATAAAATGCACCATTGATAGAATAAAATGCACCATTGATAGAATATAATGCACCATTGGTAAAATAAAATGCACCATTGATAGAATAAAATTCATCATTGATAGAATAAAATGCACCATTGATAGAATAAAATTCATCATTGATAGAATAAAATTCATCATTGATAAAATGTCCTGTACACAAATGTACTAGTAAAGGCCTTGTCTAATCAAGTGAAATCAGATATCAACGTTTTTGTTTTGAACACTGATTATTTTCGTTTGTAGTTTCTGCATAAGAGTGACTTGGGCATTTCTTGCCTCAGAAACAGTGGAGAAATTTTCATAATTAACACTCTTCCAGCGACGTTATCTTCCAAATTATTGATCAGATTAATGGTTCAAGGGTACCTTGGAAAATCGGGCATGCTCTTTTTTTGTCATATAATCACAAGGACAGTCACTTTACATCAAGCATCGTAGTGTACATAGATCTAATTCTGCTGCGGAGCTGTACAATTTTCTTGTAAAAAAAACGGGTTTTAATTCAAGATTCATTCTTATTGAAATTTGTTGTTAAAGCTAATCCACATATGTAAATATAATGCATATACAATTAATACAATTCATGATGCTGAAGATTTAATCTACAGTGTCATCATTTTATCAAGAATTCAAATTTTTACAGATTCATAAACTCAATAGTTAGGAAGTATGACTTGAAGATGCAATACGTCTATCTATCTATCTATTTATCTATCTACCTATATATCTATTTATCTATTTATCTATTTATCTATTCATCTATATATCTATCTTTCTATCTATCTATCTATCTATCTATCTTTCTTTCTTTCTTTCTTTCTTTCTTTCTATCTATCTATCTATCTATCTATCTATCTATCTATCTATCTATCTATCTATCTATCGTTCTTTCTATCTATCTATCTATCTATCTTTCTATCTATCTATATATCTATCTATATCAGTTGAAACGCAACAATTTTCTTATAACATTTTATTCATAGACAAATTGTTTCATGCTTTTAATGCAATCATCAGTATCTACTATATCTATCTATATATCTAACCATATATCTATCTATCTATCTATCTATTCATCTATCTATCTATCTATCTATCTATCTATCTATCTATCTATCTATCTATCTATCTATCTATCTATTTATCTATCTATCTATCTTTCTTTCTTTCTTTCTTTCTTTCTTTCTATCTATCTATCTACATCGTGCATAAACTCTACTATTCTGAAAAGGTTTTCGTAATTTTGAATATATACGAAATTCTAAATATTCGCGCACAATTAAATCATAAATTTTGCGCTATTTTATGAATATGCAACATATGCTGTTAATTAACACTTTTAATTGCAGAAAATTACTTTGCCTTTGTGAAATTTAAACCAATTTAGCCAAAACAATTGAATTTACTCATCTTATTATTTTTTAGTGCTTGTTTGTCCTCATTAAACCGATTAGCCCACGTTTGGAGAGACGGATCTATATGACCTATGTTATTCGAAAAAAGGAACTTCAATGGAATTAAAGTGTTCAAGTTCTATGTCCTTCAAAATGTTTCACTTTTTATGCGCTATTTCAATATTGCTATCATAAAATGCCGCAAATTCATAGATCTTATTTTTTGTTAATTATATTGAAAACCAAAGAATTTTTCCAGGTGATTCCATGGGATAAGTAAAAGGCAGCTAACGCTAGACACAATTTTTCAATTTATTTAAGAGATTAAATTTTCACCGAAATAAAGTGTTTTACATCATTTTTATGGATTTAAAGATTCTATAACATTATGTAATCCCTCTAAATTGAACAATCAATGTGGATTTTAAAGATTGCATTTGTGCTCTGGCTGACTAAATATGCACCGTAAAACCGTCTCATAGTTCTCAAATGAATCCCAAAAATGTCTCTACACAGTGACACACTGCATGCTCAGCTCAACTATCATTTTCAGCGAGACACTCCCCTTTAATTGAAATGCAAAAATAATTTAAACGTTTATGGAAATCTAAATCTTTAATTTCTTGCATTGCGCCTAGGATTGAAAACTTAAATGTGTGTAATCTATATAATAAATCTCTTCGCTAATATATATTTGTACTGTAGTACAGCTTGTTCTTCATGCTTAAAAGTCGGAGTTAATAGTGACTCACCCATATCCGTATTTATTGAAGGTTCCTAGCCAGTTGACTCCTCCCCCCAGTAGATACCCGCCAACCCCTACACTACGGCACTGCCCATGGGGGTAGCTATACCTAGATAATAATAATAATAATAATAATGCTATAACAAAAATAATAATAAGAAATCAATAAAATCCATATTAATATTAATGATGAAAATGACAGTGCAAATAGTAATAAATCCTACGAAAAATATTTTAAAAGTCATAACATTAACAATTTAGTATGTTAACAGTATGTTAAAGTATAAATAGTTAAAAATTGTTAAATTGTTAGGTCGATAGATAGATAATAGATCCTTTAAAAGATAGATAGATAGATCCGGATATGTCTAGATACTATAGAAACCAGACTAAAGTCAAGCATAGAGTAAATATTTCTAAAGAGACAGATAAGAAAAATGTTGATTGAATGGTGAGGTATGTACACTCTAAAATTAGAAGAAGAAAAAAATCACTTATTTGGCAGCAAATAATTTTGCCAATTTTGGCGACAAAAGAGCGATTTCTTGTTGAATATAAGCATTGCAATCTGTATATTTCTTGTTGAATATAAACGATTTTTATATTTTATTGTTAAATATAAGCGATCTTTATATTTCTTGTTGAATATAAGCGATCTTTATATTTCTTATTGAATATAAGCGATCTTTATATTTCTTGTTGAATATAAGCTACCTTTATATTTCTTGTTGAATGTAAGCGATCTTTATATTTTATTGTTGAATATAAGCGATCTTTATATTTTATTGTTGAATATAATATTTTTTGTTGAATATAAACGATCTTTATATTTTATTGTTGAATATAAGCGATCTTTATATTTTATTGTTGAATATAAGCGATCTTTATATTTCTTGTTGAATATAAGCTATCTTTATATTTCTTGTTGAGTATAACCGATCTTTATATTTCTTGTTGAATATAACCGATCTTTATATTTCTTGTTGAATAGAAGCGATCTTTATATTTCGAAATTTAGAGTGTATAGGCTTCTATATGATCTCCTCAGGTCAGCTTTCACTTTTATGAAAAATGGGCTTAATTATTTCCTTAAGGAGGAAAAAGAAATAGATTGTTTTTAAAATAACAAAACGAAGAATCCGTAAGTTTTCCGTTTTTTCATTAAAAACAAAGGTTCGATGGTTTTATCACTCCAAAATTAAGTGCTCATTTTTTAATCTCTTTTTTTCTCTATGACAAAACCAAGTACATATACTGCCCTAGTATATAGCTTGGGGTAAAGGTGCATGTCTGGACCTAAGCCTTTATTCCCACGTAAAGCTATTGTTATGGTATACATACATTATAAATAATTTAATATATTTGAACTAGAATTCGACTTATTATTATAATTTGAATATTGCGAGGCGTGCATTTTGTATGTTTTGCAAGTTTTTCCAGATTTAAACTTTTTATTCCGGTATATCCGGATCTTGACGCCGAATTTAAAGAATTTGAGCCGCGGCTTCAATTTAAACCGCGGCTCAAAAAGAGGTTCATGCCCTAATCACAACACTTGTATGTTTGTAATGTTGAGTTGAGAGGTTGGTTTGTAAGTTTGATGTATTTCAAGAATTTTCAGAAACAAACTGTTTGGTGCATTAAGCAGAAATTATGCAGTTTTATTCTAAAAATTCCAAGTTCAGCCTCTGTTTAAGAACGGTTCAAGAATGTCAACATTTCTGAATTCGTTAAATTTACTTTTAACAAGACAAACACAAAACATATTAAAAGTTAGAAACAGTTTCATTAACGAAAGTTTTAAAATTGAATAACAAATTTGAAAATGAATTTCAAATTTTCGAGTGGCACGTTCCTGAAAAGCTTTGTCTAAGTATAGATTGAAGAATATATACAGGTTTACCCCACAAAGGATGAGACTGTAAAGACGGCTTGAACCTCTTCAAATATGACTATTCCAAATTTGAATTAAGTCTTCTATCTTGAATGTGATCTTCTATCTTGAATGTGATCTTTAAAAGGTTTATTGAATAATTTGGCTAGTAAAGTATAAAGCACGTGAATTTAATGGTTCTGTCAATATTTCAGAAAGCTGTGACTTTAGATCACAATTTGACCCCTTTTACATAATTTTATAGCCTTTTTTCTTAAATAGTTTTTTGTTGGCATATACATTTTGAATGAAAAAGCATTAAACAAACAAATCTGTTAGTTTAAAAATTGTTGAATAATAGACGAAAACACGTTTGATTTTAAATAAAAGAAACCAAATGCTTCTCTCTCTGGTTAGTTCGTTGTGAAAGGACTTTATAAGGGAATCATAAATACAAGGAAACAGACAGTAGATATTCCGTACAGTCGTCCCTGATGTTTCATCCTTTGTGGATAACCCTGGATATGTTTTTAGATAAAATCTAAAAGTAAAATATTAAGATTACCTATCCAATGGGATTTTTCTTTGAACATCGCCCCATGTTGATCCTTAAACACACATTTTTGTTACAAAACAATCAAATTAAATTTGTTAAACAATAAAATTAAAATTGTTAAACTTATTTTTTTCTGCTGTAAGGGGTTGATTACCAAAACTTTAAGAAAAAAAATGCTTGGGACATTTTTATAAAATTTTGACAGAACAGAGATCTTGTAAAATATTGGCCGTTTTTTCGTTTATTTGAAACCCAAAAGAAACAAAAAATACCCAAATAAGTCAAAAACATATAGAGAGTAAGATTCCAACTATCATTTCTTTTATATTTTTGTTATTGTTTTTATGATTATTACCTGTGCCCAGTACAGCGGCTAAACCTGTTCTACTTTTTCCAGTTTTAATCAGACTAATTTTATTTAACCTTAAGAAATGATAAAATTTTAAAAAATGTGATTTAAAAACTATTAAATTTTTAGACGGAAAGATTTGCTTTTGAAACAATTTAACACTTAAAACGTCACTATAGTTGCAGTAGAAGTAAATATTTCCATTTACTGTTAGAGCCGATTTAAGGATTTATCTCTAATTGGATAATGAGATAGATAGAAAGATGTTACCGCCATACTATTTCTATTGGTTCAGAATGGACAACAAACACATGACTGAACCCTGATTGGATCAGGCGCTAATGGACTGGCATACAAGAGTGAAACACCTTTTACCTTTATACGCAAATCACTTTAGTAGAGAAACCACAATACATAGATGTCTTATAAGTATCGTTCAAAACCTGAGATTCTCAGGTTTTATCCTATACCCCCTTTCATTTTTCCTTTACAGTCCCTTTAAAAGCTTTATTCGAGATCAAGTATGAATATAGATCTCATCATTTCAAAAACATATAAATTTCAAGTGTGTTTTCTCTTAGAGGATGATTTGCGAATTTCTATTGCAGAAAAAGAAATAGGAATTATCAGAATTAAGCCCTTTTACACCTGGAAAAACGACAATATCCTCCACATTATTAATCAGATAAAGGTTTTAATAATGATAATATTATTGTTATTACCCTCTTAGATCTATGAGGATTGCTCCTTCCTTGATTTGATTACAGGTATATCCATGTCCACCACTCCTTACACTTATCTAGATATTATAATTATTATTATTATTATTATTATTATTACTATTATTATTATCATTATTATCACAATTACTATCATTTTTGTCATTGTCATTATTGTTATCATTATTATTATTAATAATATCATTATCATATTATCATTTTTATTTTAACAATTTGCTTTCTATTTGATTTTAGTCTTTGCCACAAAACCTAATTTTCAAATATCTATACCTATATATTTAAAATTTAGACTATTTAATCTTCCAGAATCATAGTTATGCAAAGCATTTAGAAATTCGGCAAAGACTAAATTCCCTTAAAAATGAAGTATTGACTACAATGTTATAGAAATTACGTACGAGCACACGATAGTATAAACGTTGTGTTCCACGATTTGAGAAAGTCTAGAGAAATTTCAAACCGCAGACAATTTGCGTAAATTCTTGCAATAATGAATGAGAAAATTGAGACTGTGCAAAATCTTTTTGCATAGTTCCTGCAAGTTAAAACTTGGTTTTCATGGTTTATTTATCAAATCAAGGTTTAGAATTCAAGATATTTGATAATAATAATATTGCAGAAAATAGTATTTTGTTTTAATTTAATGCATCGTTCAGTGGTAAGCGAGTTTATGAATACAATGAAGACGACTTTTTATTTAAGTTTTGATTAGTAACAGCTTTTTTTTGAATTTCCAGTTTACAATAGTAATCAAAGGGAAGCAGCTTCTCTTTACTTCTTTGTTTATGTGTATCAATAATGTTTAAAAGTTATATATATCAAAATAGAAATAGAAAGTCGTCTTCTTTTATTGGTATACCACTGTATCAAAGGAATTGCAATTACTTGAGTCAATCTCTATTTTTATTGGAAAGATGAACACCGTGTACATCATCCGGTTGCAAAGTGTTTCGAAAAAGAGTTTGAGGCAAGTAATCACTTTAGAGTTAGAAATTTCATTAAAGTCGATAATTACCTTAAATTTTACAATTCCTTTAAAGTCAAAAATCATTTAAATTTGGCAACCCCTTTAAAGTTTTAAGTTGACATATTTCCTTAAAGTCTACAATGTTTATAAAATTGACGATCCCTTTAAAGTCGAAAATTCCTTTAAATTCGGCAATCCAATCTAAAGTTGTCAAAATATATATAGTTTAAATTCCCTTTAAAGTTGACAATCCCTGAAAATTCGACAATCCCTGTAAAGTCGACAATCCCTGTAAAGTCGACAATCCCTGTAAAATTGACAATCTCTGTAAAGTTATTAACATTTGTAAAGTCGACAATCCCTTTAAAGTTGACAATCCCTGTAAAAAAGATAATCCCTGTAAAATTGACAATCCGTGTAAAGTCTATAAACCTTGTAAAGTCGACAATCCCTGTAAAGTTTACCTGTATTCTATGCCTGTGTGCAAAGTTGACCGCCAAAGCAACATCTTCAGTTGTTCTAAATATTTGAGAACAATTAATGTAATACGTAAAATATTTAAAATTACAAACAAGGTATATAATTGTTTCTGGAGTATTTTTGCTAAATGACTTGATTTTGCAAAAAATATTTTGATTTATGCCAAGGAATTTAGTCTAACCCACAAATTCAAGTTTTCTAACTCATATATCTTAGCAACCTAATAGTTTAATCCTTTGACATTTCAAACTTAGATTATTGAAGTAGAGCCCAAGGCTTCTTCAAAAACGTAAAAAATGTTATAAATTTTTAACACCCTATGAAAACGTCTATTTTTCGCGGAAAAAGATTTACAGGCATACGCAAGTCAGTCGGAAAAGGGTTAATTCCCGTGAATATTAGTGCACCCTGTATACGCCAAAACACGTTCCACTGCAGTAAAATGCTAAATAGTAAATATCGTTAATATTGATTACAATAACTATGCACTTTAATGTTACAACAGATAAATCAAAGTTTTAATACAATGCACTTCAGATAAATCCTTTCATCTTGTATGTATATGCAACTTTGTATCTTTGAAATTTAGTAAAATTTACAACTCCATACTTTTAAATATCATTCAAGGTCGTATTTTTATGTCTCAAAAATAATATCCAATGTGTATGAAAGCATAAAAAAGCATTTAATTTTTATATGTTGAAATATGAAGAGGTCATATTTTTAATGTTTTTTTTTTAAAAACAATTTCAAATTTTGATTAAAGTTTTTTAAACCGAGGTCTGGTTTAGTGTTCTTATTTAAAGAATATGTTAAAAGTATATGTTGTTCTAATTTTGTGTTTTCCCGCATTTTTAATTATTTTCTTTAACTTGAAAGTCGTAACTTGATGAAGAGGGAAAAATGTTTTAAGATTAAATGCCTTGAAACTTAAAAGTTAATTTAATTTCTTAGAATTCTAAGAATTAATCATCATAATGATGGGAAATCTGAAAAAAAAAAAACAGTGAAATGGCTGGGCCATTTAGGAAAATTATTTAAAATGCTGAAATTTCGTATTTGAGCTAGTTTTAACCCAATCCTGCCTAAAATATGTGTCGTACATCTAAAATTTTTTTATTGTTATTGTTTTGTAATTTTTGAAAATTAACGAAAGAGTTAACCAACGAGAAAATTAACGAAAGAGATAACCAACGAGAAAATTAACGAAAGAGTTAACCAACGGGAAAATTAACGAAAGAGTTAACCAACGAGAAAATTAACGAAAGAGTTAACCAACGGGAAAATTAAAGAAAGAGTTAACCAACGGGAAAATTAACGAAAGAGTTAATCAACGGAAAAATTAACGAAGAGTTAACCAACGGAAAAGCTAACGAAAGAGTTAACCAACGGGAAAAAACTAACGATTCAATCAACATGGAAATAAAAACGAAACAGTTGTGTTTGTTTTAAAACATTAGCGACTTTCGTTCTTTTTTCTAATTTATTATGTAAATTTATGTTTTTTAAACGCCGTAATCCGGGTTTTCCCTGGCTTTTTCGTTGAATTAAATTGGAAGCATTTTACGGCTGCAGCACCGTTAGAAATGTCTAAAATATTAGCTTGTAACGCCGTTAATAATATTAAGATCGTTAAAGATCGGTAGCTTTTAAAATTAGCAGAAAATACCGTTAACGAAACGAACGCTCCGTTTTTAGTTAAGAAACGAACGGGGACCTGAAAAATATGTTAACGGTTTATACTAACCGCTAACAAACGGCTTGCAAAAAGTCAAAACGTAGAAGCGATCAGATTGTGTAAACAAAGACTTAACTTCAGTAGGTAGAAGGCCTTAAAATCGTCTAGAAAAGGGTTTCAGGATGTAATAATTGAAAAAGCTTGATACAACGGTAAAAGGTTACCGCGGAGAGTCCGAATTTAATGAATTTCAGCCGCGGCTTAAATTTGAGAGGCGGCTCAAATATGGTTGGTTTCATTTAAGATTTCATTCAATGTTTTAAGATTTAAGCCTGCGCTCAATTGTAGCCGGTTTTTGGCGGATTTGAGACACGGCTCAAATTCATTAAATTCGGACTCCGGATTAAAATGGGTTTCCAATAGCAGTTTTCATTTGTGAAGACAATTCTGTTCATAAACCCAGTTTTCTAATTTTCTAATTTTTTAAAGTTCCCACCACCAAAATGTTTGGATTTCTATCGTATTGTCTATTAAAGCTTGAGGTCTAATTTAAAGCGGGCAGCAGTAAAGTTTATAGGTGGTCATTTCTTTACTGCAGGGCAGGGGGTGGCCTTGAACATTTCATGTAATACATAGGCGTCGACGCATAAGGGGGGGGATCTAATTAACATAGCCTTTGTGCTAACTGGTTAAATAACAAAGAATATATTACGAATTTATAATTTGTTGGAAGGGGGGGGGGGCATTTAAACTGCTTGATCAAGGGGGTAAGGGCGGTGAAAATAAAAAAGTGTACATTCTATAAAAGTAACTAAAGGAATTGATTCTCATGCAATTCAAACTCAAATTTGCTTATTCCTATTTCTTATGATATATTATGATATAAACCTTTGATATTTCAAACTTTGATTATTTGATCTAACAAAATTCATAATTTTAGGACATACGACATAGGGTTGAAAATATATAGGGGTAAGAAAATCAATTCCTTTGCGCTTTCTTCGGAAGGTCCAATTTTCCTACTGAAGCGAAAGACGAAAAAACGTTTTTCATAAACAACGTTTAAATGTAAAAAAAGATTTAAAGATTAAGAATTAAACGGAAAATTTTTCCATCTTTGGGTTATTTGACCCACTCAAACTAAAGGGAAAGGTAGTCGTGTTTTATGTTTGAGTCGTTGGTGTTTATTTCAAGCAAGATAATATACCGAACATCTGATCAATTTTTACGGATAATTAATGGACACTCTTATAGTGGGGGGTGGGGGTGGGGGGAGTGATGACTTAATTTAGTTTATGTAATAAAAATATTTATGGTTTAAAGAATTTAAAGGGATTCCAAAATTTTCAAGTTATGTATTCTAAACATTTGCATTCTTACATTATAGCCAATTTGGACCATGAGAGAAAATATATTTAAAAAAATAAAAGATGGTTTTGGTTTGTTATTTTCGTTTTTTCAAAGTTTGTGAACGGTAGTAGGACCAAGCATCTAAACAATTTCTGGACAGAGTGAATAAAGAGAATACAAAGAAGATTCCGTAGATTTCATCTTTCCGGCCATATTCCGGGGTTTCAAGGAATTCCAGGGCCCAAGACAATTTAGGAGATATAGGAGATACTGCTGGGTTCCAAGGATATCTTCAAGGGGGTCTATGGGAATGAAAGGGGTTCCATAGGAATCAAAAGGGTACCAAGGGAATCTAAGGGGTACCAAGGGAATCTAGGGGGTTCCAATGGAATCTAGGTGGTTTCGGTTTCAGTAAGTTAAACAGTTTCCAGAGAGTTGTAAAGGGAATTTTACAGTGTCCAGGGGCTTTTCAAGAGGGTTCTAAAGAGTTGCAGGGGCTTCAAAGAGTTTAAAGGTAGTTCCTAGAAGTTCCCTTGGGGGTCTTATGTAGTATTGACGAACTCAAATTGCTCCAAAGAGTTCGATATACATGGTTATTGGTTACCCACAAATGTTGCAAACGAGGGGAAAGGGTGAACACGAGGGGTGGTTGAACACGAGGGGGGTGTTGTACGTATGTTTTAAATCAAAGATTACCTTGGTCGAATGATGGCATAGGGCCGAGCAGTGCAGGCCTTGTTGTTGACTAATCTCAGCTGTTGATATCTACTTCCACAGCAGGGAAAAACATCACCAGACACCTAGTATTAGACTCTAGTACAGTTAGGGAGGGTGGGGGGGTAAGGGACGCCAAGAGGTCAGCAATATTGTCTCATTGCAGATGAGTATTGAAATTACCTGACGCTACCTATCCTTTAGAACAGATATTATAGAAGTAATGTAAAAAAACTCTAGAAAAAAAAAATTTAATATTTTAATAGTTATGCTATGTTTTTGGATATTCCAGAAAAAACTGCATAACTATATAAAGGCAAATATTTTCTTTAAAAATGTTATTTATTACTTTATAATTTCATTTCTAACGTTTAGGGGTAGCGAGCGCCAGGTCATTTTTAACTTGATCAACTGCGAATAGTAAGGCTTGGAGACCATTTTGCGGGGCTCATTGAGGCCCTGAACCCCTCCCTCGACGTACAGTAGTAGCCTAAAAACAGTGAAATGAATGTTGTTTTCTTTAAAAAAATAGCTGTTCTTAAGTTCTTATTTTATGCCAAATGTTGACTCTGACCGAAAATATATGCAATACTAGTTAAATTTTCACTTCTAATTGGCATACAGAAATATCAACATTTTCACTTCTAATTGACATACAGAAATATCAACATTTTCACTTCTAATTGGCATACAGAAATATCAACATTTTCACTTCTAATTGGCATACAGAAATATCAACATTTTCACTTCTAATTGACATACAGAAATATCAACATTTTCACTTCTAATTGGCATACAAAAATATCAACATTTTCACTTCTTATTGGCATACAGAAATATCAACTTTACAGTATTCATGAAAGCATATTGAATTACTATGATAAATGAAGAACAGAATTTTAGAAATATCTAAAAGATTTGTATCAAATTAAGGAAACGACAGATTGTATATTTAAAATTTTTTATTACATATTTTGAAATGAGTGTTCAGTATCTTTAAATGTTTTGTTAAACTATAAAACCTTGAAGTTCAAAGATTATAAAATTTAGTTTTGTCATTGTACATCATGGGTTCACAAAGTATAAAGAGTACACTGCACTGCAAATATATTATCGAGTTTTTCTTTAATTTTGGAATTTTGACATTTCTACTGTTTAACCATTTTCCGGCATTTATAGTATCAACAAAATATTAGTAATTTGGTAAATTTGAACACCAGTTAGGGTTTCTTTAAACTCTTTTGTTCTAAAATTCCTCGCTAATCTTTTGCAATTATATTTAACGTTTATCTGTTTAAACATTTAACTATTATATTTGTTAATTAGCGTTATTTAGCGTTATTTAGCGTTATTTAGTGTTATTTAGCGTTATTTAGCTTTATTTAGCTTTATTTAGCTTTATTTAGCTTTATTTAGCTTTATTTAGCATTATTTAGCGTTATTTAGCTTTATTTGGCGTTATCTAGCTTTATTAAGCGTTATTTAATTTTATTTAGCATTATTTAGCTCTATTTGGTGTTATCTAGTTTTATTTAGCGTTATTTAATTTTATTTAGCATTATTTAGCGTTGCTGTTTCAAATATACGTCTAACATGTTTTATAACATTTTATATTAATTTCCTGCCATTGACTAACCATGTTCATTATTTATTATCCAGGGTTACCTACAAAGGATGAGACCGAAAAGACGGCTAGAAATTATGAAGATTCTTAAGAGGTTCTACTATTTTCTTTGCCTTGAACATAGATTGGTCATGGAAAAGAAAGAAACAAGTTTATATTTACAAGGAATCATGAATGACAGTATAAATTCCGTAATGTGCAGTAGTTGCTAAAGGAAGTTACGTTAACTTGTCGCGTTGAATTATAGGAAGAGAGAAATCAGTACACATTTTAGGGTTAGGTTAGTAAACGACACTTTGTGTGCCTAGCGCTACGGCTAGGACTGGCTCGCTCGGGCTCTCTGTCTTTAATTCAAAGCGGCATGCGCACGTAACTTCCTTGGACTTCTGCCTAAACTTGCCATGTTGATTGTAACACACGTTGCATTGCATTTGCAACGTTTTCTAGGTCCTGGTGCAGGTTTTAATAAGACAGTTCATAGATTGCACAGATTGGACAGGGAGGTATTTTCAAACTTAACACACATTGTTCCACTAAACATGGACGACATGTCTCTGATCTTCAGGGGCGGATACAGGGGGTGGGGCGGGGGGACATTCGCCCCCCCCTGAATTTGGAATTTTTTGTTCCTATTTTCAGAAAAGCTTCTCAATAGCATGCTTAAGGGAAAGAAACCCTAGTGCAAAATAGGAAAAATGTCTGTCTTAATAAACTATAATGTGTGAAAAGTTAAAAATCTAGTTTTATAGTCTTTAGTCATTAATTTTGACTCTTTTTGAGTCTTCTAAGTCAAAATTTTTTTTTTGACCTATCTGTTAAGTCTGTGGCCAGTTTTATAAGAATTTTGCACTGATAGTAAACTTTCGTTCAAGGCCCTCCACACCGAGCAATATATGTGGGTGGGGGCAGAGGGCAGGGAGGGGGAGGGGGTACTTCAAATATCTCCAAAATTGATGCCAACAAGAAATATTTTTCTAACAAAAGCTGTCGAAGCACCTAAATTCACTTTCTAAGAAAAATGAGTCTTCAAATGCTGTTCAACATTAAATACAAATTGATATTGGGGCTGTGACAAGTTTTTAAATAAAGATTGTATAGAAACTAAACACTGGTGACAAACTCCAATCTGCTCATCTCTATATTTTTGTAACCTTATGTTGTAGACCTTTTATATCTGAAATTATAGCTATCTGTCTGACCAAATAAAATATAAAAGCATCAGGTTGAAAAGATTAGTAATTATCAAATTCATTTAATATGAGTAGATTAGGGTGGGCGGGTGTTTATAAAGTTCTGAAAGTGGAACTCCACTTGATCTAGAATAAAATAAATTAAATATTAAATTCTTTTTTTTAACTCTTATAATAATTTGTTGACAAATTATTACATTTTCATGAATTTAATGAATTTCAGCAGCGTCTCAAATCCCCAAATACCGGTTTTAATTGAGCGCCGGCTTAAATCTTGAAACATTGAGTACGACTTTAAGCGAATTCAGCCTTATTTAAAGACGTAATTATGCAAGATATGTAGATTTCGTTATTTCAAAATATCTGGCGGCTTCATTATTAACTCAAAAAGAGGTTTTAATATAGCACCGATGTGAATTAGACATGCACTATTTATATTATACATTCAGACAAAAATTACTACGTAAAAATATCATTGTTTCAATCAATTTTGATTCAAGTTTCACTGTTGATATTTTGCAATGTTTTTTATAATTTTGTCAAAATGATAAAGCAGAAATATACTGAATCATCCCTTATAATTACTTTTACTCATAGATTAATAAACAATACAGATAGAACATTAGATGTCGTCTATTCAAGATTTAGGGGTTTTTTATCCCAATAAACCTTAGATAGAGCCCAAAGGAGTTACGCGCAGCATGCTCTCTCTGTTTTGTAATTCAACGCAGCAAATGCAAAACTTCTTTTGGGCTCTGCTTCTGCTTCAGGGTTATTGTGAACGAAAAGCCCCTAAATCTTGAAAAGACAATATCTAGTGTTCTATCTGTATTTTTATTGATCCATGCTTTAACTTCATGATAAACAGGAAAACATTATCTATTTAAGAATGGATAAAATGCAAAGAATAAAACTTGAAAGTATATTATATTAATTTTAAACAAATTAACCATTTAACTGTTCTTGAATTGATATTCCTTAAATTTTGTTGAAATTTCAAAAGTCTAAAAGTCTAAAAATCAATTGTAGTTTTGTTACAACCTGTCTATATTGGGATATTTCTCACTCTCTTCAATCTGTATTTCAAAACTCTGAACACTTCTAAAATTATATTTTTTGTTCAATAACATTTTTTAGTATACCTGTACCTGTACCTGTACCTGTACCTGTACCTGTACCTGTACCTGTACCTGTACCTGTACCTGTACCTGTACCTGTACCTGTATCTGTACCTGTACCTGTACCTGTACAACGTTGAAGTACACAGAACAAATGAAATGAAAATATTTGAAAACATTTTTTTGCATCTTTTAGCACAGCCTTGAAATTACTTATTGTCACGTCATCTGAAATTGTTTAGTCATTAATTCATCTTACATCTTTCTTTCCTAGAATCGTGTATATAGTAAACACATGACAAATCTCTGATTTTGGATTACGGATTACGGATTACGGATTACGGATTATTGATATGGATTAAAGATTACGGATTGCGGGGTACGCGTACGGACTAAGGATAAAGATTATGGATTACGGATAAAGAATTATGGATTGCATAAAGAAATTACGGATTATGAATATGGATTGCGGGGTACGAATAACGAAGTACGGATTGCCAATTACGGATTACGAATTACAGATTACGGATTACAGGTAAATGGATTTTATAGAAAAGAAATCAATATATTTCTCAAGCTGGAATATTTCAGTAATGCACGCGCACACAAAGTAAAATTGCGATGTAAAAATACATATTTATAGATTTATAAGAAACCTACACAGATTTGAATTCAAAAAAAAGAATTATATGAAAAGGAGTTATTAACACAGGTTAGTCAAGAAAAGTATTTTTAATTTTTATTGGCCTTGACCGAATTGGAGAGCTCCCTGAAATTTGAACAGACAGATGCTACTTAGTCCCTTTAATGTTTTCCATGCATCATGTACACACAGTCCCTTTAATGTTTTCCATGCATCTGCAGATTATAACAGAAGTTTTGATTTGTCTTACAGCGGGGTGGAGCATTTTTAATATTTCGGATGACAAGCCAGGTTCAGCAATTTGAGTTTTAGATTAAAAATGAAGGAGGATGAAGGGGAGGGGCGGAGAGAGGGGGGTGGACAAGGGGAGGGTAGATGGTGGAAGATTATTGGGTATTTTCTCAAAGGCCTATTACCAAGCGCAAAGTTACCATGGGTAATATCCCAATTTATAACTTACAAATGTGCAATCTCCTAAGTGGCAACTTCCCAAGTCTGTCCTAGCCGCAGTGCTCATCCCCTTTCCCTGTTCTATCCAAAGCGATCGGCCCCCTAGTCCGTCTTAGCCCCCAACATAGCTTTTGGCGCCCTAGAAGGCCCAACCTTACCTCTGGGAAGTTACTGCTTGGGAAATTGTAACTTGGGAAGTAATCCTTGGGAAATGCCTAAGGGTAATTACCTAACACATGGTGAAGGCACAGTGGGGTATTTTAGGAGGTCATAGGGGGGGGGGGGTGACTGGTTTTCGTCAAAATCTTTACCCTAACTAAATATGTGTATTCTGTTATTTAAACACAATTTTAATCGACCAAGCCTTAATTGACTTGAATAAGAGGTTTCTGGATTAGACTCAATTTCCCCCCCCCCTTTTACACGACTTGAGGGGGGGGGAAGGTTTAAAGGAGGCGGGTTGACTTATTCCAAATATAGCTAATCTTGCACATTCATAAATCCTGAAGTAATCTGCGCGCAAACAATTACAAGCCATAAGTTTAAGTTTTAAAATCATAAATGACAGATCCAAACTTCCAATGACATTATCACATGGAAATGCACTATTTTGTTTAATTAATTTGCTGAATTTTTCCTCTCCATAACATTCTGTATTAAAATCAATAGGAAGATTGGAAACAAATTCTTAAAGTTTTAGGTTTCTTAGTCGAAACTCTCAGTCCACAAGGAACTTACAATTTTTTAATTTTGATCTATTCTTGGGTAAAAGAAAATATTTTTAACATATTTTCTGATTTTTTGGCCTGAATTTTTTGCAACTTTTTTATTTCTTTTTATAATTTTCATAAAACAAAATGGTACGAGACATAGTTAATAATTTCAAATATTCATCTTTTTTCTCCTTTCTCCATCTGCATGTCTGCAGGTTCTTTATTTCTTGCTTCCCTTTTTTGGGCTGCTTTTGAAAGAATGTTTACGAAAAACTGTCTTTTCGCCATAATATAAGACAGTGCACGATCACCCTTTCATTGAATAAATGTCCCTCTCTCTGTTTTTTGTTTATTTTGCTTAATTGTAATTGTAGCCTCAGCTTTGCATATTCTGTCTACTTGCTTTTTCTAGATCACCACTCCTAGAACTTTAAGTTTGTTTTTATTTGCTGCAAGGGAGCAATACCTTCCCTGCTTTGAACTGCACATTTTTACTTTCCTATAAAAGCAGGGTTGCAATTCCAATGGAGGATAATCAAGTGACCAGCTCAGAGGTAATTTTGTTTTAGGATCCAACAGAGAAATGTCCTCATTTTAATGTTTGTGAGAAGATTAGAGGAAGGTAGAGAGAGGAGAGCAGAGATGAGGATAAGGGTTTGTAGGAGCGGTGTATCAGGAATGTTTTGTTAAAAAACATAAAATTTGTCCACATATTATACCGTTACCCAGTCCAGTGAAATTCCTAAGGTAGTATCAAATTTAATGTGCACCGCTGCATTAAGAATGAGGAGTTGTCCCCTTGTAATCATCTGTGGAGCAGGGCCCTTCCAGAAAGGGCTCCGATTGCCAAGTGAAGTGGGTTTAAAACTGTATTAGTTTTAGACATATTAGCTCTTTCTTATTCCTATTTCTTGACTTATTACCCTGGCCGTATTTACTGTAGCTAAGAAAGGGGTTCAGAGCTGCTAGGCCTTCCCTCCCTCCTATGTGTAGACACCTTTCTCAGCATCCACTGCAAATAGTACAGAGAGCTGTCTGAGCAGAGCTCTGCTCTCTTAGGCTGCAGAAATGCAACAGTTTTTTTTCCTGAATAACCGTCTTTTCCATCTCTACAAAGGGGTAAAGGCAAGGGCGTATACAGGGGGGGGTATTTATTCAATATCATTTTAGGAAATTAAAACACAGTAGAAATAAGTTTAGGATTTATGATTTAGGATTAGTTTTCAAGCCGACCCTCCATTTTTGTCTTCAGGACTTTAATTACCGTGATTGTATTTCCTGAGACTTTAAATGGCCGCCCCCTATTATTTTAGGATAAAAAATTCAAAGAATCTAAGATTAGGACTTTATTTTCAATGACATTTTGTCCTAGGACTTCAGAAAATTGGGACTTTTTTACCAAAGTTTATATTTCCAGGCTTTTTGTTCAGAAACTTTTTTTCCTTTGACTTTGTTACATAGATTTTTGTCACAATACTCCTCTTAAAAAGCATTTGTCTTGTGTTTCATGGTGAGAATGGAGAACATGAATATATTCTGATAACCTTTTCATTTACAAACATTGTATTGATTTAACATGATTTCAATTTATAACTACTTTTCCCATTCATATCTCTATTCTTGAATGGATCATTGTAAACCCACAATACAGTGGTAAGCCTATTAAAACCAATATAAAAGACGACATTTTAGTGATACTTTGCTTTCTATCCAGCTTGTAAACAAAGGGAATTACATTTTTATTGGACAATTTCAAATCATAAATTGAGTCTAAAAGTCGTCTTCCTATTTTAGTTCTGATTGGAATTCTAGTTTATTTATTTCCTGCAGAATTTCTTAGAAGTACGTTAATTGAGCGCCAGTATTCGCAGAGCGCAAGTGATGCTTGGAAACTTCTAGAAACAAATCAAACCAAAAATAAAATACCTGTTTAAAGGGACTGTAAGCGTAATTTTAAGTGACCCTCCTTGCAAAGATAGCAATACCCGATTTACAACGGTACCCTTGAAATCTTAATCTGATCAATATGTGGAAATTTAATTTCTAAGAATTCTCTAATAGTTCTTGTAATCAAGAAATGTGCAAAGAAACCGCAAATAAAATTAAATAGTTTAAAGAAACAAAACAAGCATGGATATATATAATAGATGGATATATCATAGTCAAGGTTTGATGTAATTTTTTCGCTGGGGTGTTATGCAGTACGTTAGACATTGGACCCTGGAACTTACAATTTGTCTTTGGTTTTCGTAAAGTTAATAGATGTCAAAGTAGTAAAGAAAAACATTGTAAGTCTTTAAAACTTGATAAGATTTAGCCTCCTTCTTTGTATTATAAAAACTGTTGGAGATACTAAAGATTTAAACAACCTTGTTTATATTTAATATTTTGATTTTTAAACAAATTTCTCAATTTCTTGGTCAATTCTTAAGGTACAAAAACGGCAGACCACATTTTGGAATTCTGAAAACAAGGCGCCTTTGATGCTACCAACCCTTTGAAGAAAATGCTATGATCACAAGATTTTAGCTACAGTATCTCATTTCTGCTTACTCCAGGGCCCACTATCTACCAAAGTTCTTCTCTAATTTGGATCCTGAACTTCACTTCAAACTTTTTAAAAGTACAAATTATTTTTAAAAAGTTAACAAAAGCCAGAATAAAAATTTGTTATAGTAAAACCTAAAATTTGGTATGCAAAGGTTTTAGAAATTTCCTAAAAATATCTAGGGCCCACTGAAATATAACAGCTGCGTAGCCCACCGACAAAGTTACATGTACACTAGCCCAGAATAGTATAGATCGGTAGATAGAAGCATACATATAAGCGGGCCGTGAAAACGAGCATATATAAATTTTAATTTTAATTCATACTTGAGCAGACAAAGCTTTTAAGGATACCGTTGTGAATCGGACTATGTCATCTTTGCATCGGGAAGGTTACTTAAAATTGCTGTATATAGTCCCATGAAATATACAGTTTTCTTTTTTCTTATTTTTCATAGCAGTTCATGCTAAGAATAACTTGGACAAACAGAATTATTTTGTATTTTGTATTCACCATTTTCTACATGTTTATATCAAAAATATAAATACGTAAAAGTAAACAATGATTTTGTTTTGTTTTCAAGATAATTCCTAATAATTTATTTTTCTGACTAACCATTACTTAATTTTGTTTATCTGTATATAAATCTGTATGTAAAAATAGTTATATTTTTTTTCAAATTTGCTTTAAAAAATTTCGGTTTTTAAAAATCCACGAAATAGTGGTTCTCAGTCTGAAGACAAATAATGTTCTCAAATTTCGTAATTTTAATAAAAAAAACATTTTTTGTCAAATCTCAAAATATTGACCTAAATAGAAAATAGAGAAAAGAATACTTTTGACATAACCCCCGCAACATGTTAGATGAGA